AATAGATATGTGGACACAGTTGGCAACAGGCTTTATTGCAAGGATAGGTTCCTGGGTTAGTGGTTCTGTTGTGTGGTATGTGGTTGCTGTTAACTTAGGCTTGAATAGAGACTGGGAGTGGATGGGTTATTACACAAAGTAAAACTATTTCCCCATGTTTATTTCCCCCCCACACACACACACACACTGTTCCTCGGACATTCTTGTCAACTGCTGGAAATGGCCCACCTTGATTATCACTACAAAAGGTTTTCTCCCCCCACCCCGCTCTCCTGCTGGTATTAGCTCATCTTAAGTGATCCCTCTCGTTACAGTGTGTATGGTAACACCCATTGTTTCAAGTTCTCTGTGTATATAAATCTCCCCACTATATCTTCCACTGAATGCATCTGATGAAGTGAGCTGTAGCTCACGAAAGTTTATGCTCAAATAAATTGGTTAGTCTCTAAGGTGCCACAAGTACTCCTTTTCTTTTTGTGAATACAGACTAACACGGCTGCTACTCTGAAACCTGTCATTATTTATATAATGACCCTTTTGTGGTGGGTTTACACACAGCTCAGAATAGAAATATTTGTACAAATGACGAGTTGTGGTAATAAGATGCTGCCCAAAGAAGGGGTGTCATACCTAGATGACTAATTTTAATAACGACTGCTTTGAGCATTAGCATCAGAATGAAAAGTGTGGGGTTCATTTCAGAATGTGGACCTGATTGTCAATCTAGGGGAAGAGTTGTGTAATCATATACAAATCTTTCTCTTAGAATACAGTCGTTACCACCAAAAAAAAAAAAAAAATAAATAAAATTGTATGTCCTACTCTAAAAAGTGTAACATTTAAAAAAAAAAGTCCTGTTGAAAGAACTTCACTGTGCTGACTTGAATCTGGACAGACATTCTAGTTCTTATTAGATCAAAGGGCATTCTGCATACTCCTAGTTAAGTGGCCTTGCATGAGTTCATTCCCAGCAGCTGAAGTGAAGTAAAGCAGACACAGTCTTTCATCAGATTGTAATACCAGACTCAATCAACAGACCTTTTCAGATGGATTATGCCAAATAAATACATAAGGATTTCCATTTATCTGAGGACACTTCCAATCTTTACCACCTATCATTATATCCCTAAGCCAGCTTCTGGAAAAAGAATTTGGGCTCTCTTAATGTTGTCAGTCAATAGACTATATCTAGATCGTGTGTTTCTTAAAACGATCTTAGGCACTGTGAGGCTTCTATAAGATTGCTCTTTAGATACCTATTTTTAAAGCATTCCTATAGGAAAGAAGAAACTTGAGGTCTGCTTCCAAAGTTCATTCCACTGTGGCAATAGACAGGAATGAAATCTTCGGCAAAATCAGGGAAGGTGGAGACCGGTAAGGTATAGCTCTCGCTGCTGCTTCTGTAAGCATTGTTTGTAATGCAGATGGCTGAATTGGTAGGTTGGTTCAAGATGTCTTTGAGTTGAGCGTTATAGTTACTCTTTTTTCCTTCTGTAAGCACCCGCCTTTCCACCCCTTATTTGCTACGCTAACTTGTACCCATTTCCTCTCTAGCAGTGGCTTTAAACGTAGCTGAAGCCTTTTTGTTCTAGATCACGCTACACACTATCTGGGTGCAGTGGAAAGGGCTGAAGTGAACAGCACTATAGAGGTGACAGCAGTTGAACAGGGGGCCACGGATACAGCCTTTGGCTGCAGAATTTTCAGTATTGTGATTCCTAAAAGGTTTTCTTCTCCTCTTTCTTCCTTTTTCCCCACAGGGAGAGACTTCTTCAGGCTTATGGTGAATAGTGGGAATCCTTTAGTTGAAGGAGGCATTTCCTAAACTTGACATCTTTACCCTTTCATCAGTCTTACTACAGCCTTAAGCAGTGCAGAGCCATCTATCTATGCTCTGCCCACCCTGCTTCAGGACTGGACCGATCTCCATGGTATCCAAAAACCCTAAAATAAATTCAGTACATTTCTCCCTTGTCACGGAAAATCAGAACACAGTAGTGATGATGTGTGTGTACAGTAGCTTAGGGTGGTTGTAAAACATCCACGTAAGAGAGGCAAAATTTGAGCACTTATTGTATTGTCTTATATTGTAGTGATCCTTAATTACTCCTGACAGCTGCTTTGACTAAGCTCCTGCTGAGTAATTAAATGTTCCTCTTGTACATGCTGCAGAGTGTACAGTAGAAGCCCTTGGGTGCTTGTGTTTGGGGGAGTTTGGAGCTCTACTTTAAAATGGGTCTTTCCCCCTGAGCTGCTGGCATGGTGATCTGGTTGTGGTGAATCACAGTTCAGAGCCTTAGGTCACAAGCTCCTACCGGTGTCCTGTGCTCAGCTCCTGAAGGACTAATGCTCAGGGCAACATTGATGGGCCGCAAAAGGAGCAGCATCCATACTGCCATAGTATGGCAAGAGGGAAGATCCATATGATGGAAGTAGCATGAGTGAGGGGGAAGTAGCAGGGTGACCCTGAAGAAGAAAGTGTTGAGTAAAAGGCCAATTGAAGTAAACACTTTTCAACAAACTAAAGCATCCCACTCCCCCTCCCCCCACCTCATGGGAGCCTTCTGTGCAAGGCTAGCATCCCTGCTGTTTAATACAGCCCAGCTCTCCTTGCTTGTCATCACACAGAGTTGGAGAATTTTTATCTCCACGTCTGGTTTCTTTCATAGCCGTTGTAGCCACTGTTGTAACGAGGAGAATAAACAGGACACTTGCAGCCACTTGTGCATAAAAGCTCGTGGTTATAACACATACCTTGTAAAAATGTAATATAGACAAGATCTTGGCTCTTGCACCCATTTTGTACAATATTGCCATCATGAATACCAGAAGAGAGTGAGTTGCTGGGCCTGAGAACCAGACTTACGTCCGTATTGCTTATCACTTCCACACAAGTGGAACTTGTTCATAGTGCTGTCTGGACGCCTTCACCTGCAGGTATGAAGTTATACAATTCTGGGAGTCATGCCCAAAAGATGCTGGCAGTACCTTAACAGGCCATAACTTTTGTGTTATGATGGGGGTGGGGGAAGCAATGGAGAAGCAAAATCATTGAGGAGGGGGAAAACTAACAAATACCTTCCTGCCCTCTTCCCCACCCCAAATCTCTGTCAGTACCTTTACAATGTGTGGGCTTTACCTCTTAAGAAAAGTGGAAAGGAAATAGAAGTCTTGCACTTCCTATTGCAGGACAATAGGCCAAGGGCAAGGGCCATAGAAATATAGGCCTTTTGTTTGGAAAGATTCTGTTCGTTATGAGCGTAATTTGGTATGGACCATTTGTTCCAAGCCAGGCCTGTTAATCGTGGTGACAGAATATATAGTAGAACCAGAGATGATCCATAGGAGATGCTGTTTCCATGTCTCAGATGGCTCTGAAAGCTTGCAGCAAGATATTGAAGTGCCCTGGCTGCATATTTATTGTCGGTGTTGATGGTTTGCCCATCATTGTAGTGTCTGGGTGCCTGATTAAAGAGATGAGTTGGGCTGGATATCTCTATAGGTTTCTGCGCTTCTATACCTTGTTTTTGCAGTAGCTAGTTTTTCATTTTACTCGTCCATGTCCACCCATCTCATCTGCTGTCCTCTTTTTGTGGGAAATTCTGATGGGTTAACACAATAAATGGAACATAGATATCAAGATTATTTGCGGGCAAAACCCCTTGAGTCCTTGCTGTCATACTCTGAACTAATTCCAAGTGAGGGAAGAAGTTGCAAACCAGCATAATTAAGTGCACATACGTTTATTTCTGTTGAGCTCAGGATTCATTCTTCACATGCCTCATATCAAGGTACAAAAAGGATTATCTTTCAGGCTTTTATTAGCTTAATGGTAAAAGGTATTTGCCCACATTCCTTAAAGGTTGTGCTGGGTTTGTGACCATATCAGTGTGTGCTGAATGCATGAGGAGGGGTTGGTTATGACATCGGATTTGTTTGAGAATGCTCCCAACGTTGCCAATGAAGAGTGACCTAGAGTTCAAACTGTTAATCACACCTCTAGAGCAAAAACGGTTTGTCTTTTGTGCAGGAAACTGGGTAACAGCCATGATATATTGCTGGACTTCTCTGTTCATTGGAGACTGTGGAGGGGACTAAATATAACTACCCCCCTACTCCTCACACCTCTTCTGTAGTAATGGGATCAGAAGAGTGAAAGGTGTTCCTCAGATTGTAGCCCCTTATTAATGAAACAAATTTGACCCCCATGTTGCAGGTGGCAAGATGACTCTGTTGGATTGGTGGTCTTACACCGGCTTAAAAAACCCCCAAACGTTCTGTAAGATTTGTGTGCAGAGTTAGAATTTGTTTTAAATTTGTGTAATTAACTAATATTTTAAAAAAATGTTCAGTGGAGTGTACCAGATTCCACTACTACCTCCATTTTGTGGAGGGCTGAAACCAAAAGCCTTCATTCGTCACCATTTGGGAGGTATTAGTTTGCTGTCTACTTATAGTTCATGATTTGTTGCAGTTTTTATTGAAGATTTTAGATTTAAAATATAATGCAGATCAGGAAAACATTTAATTTTTAAAAATATGTGGGGCAATTTTAAATTTTCCCTTTGACATGTAATTGGCTTGTAGATACTGGTTATTTTAAACAATGTTTTGTTCTCCAAATCAGTCATCAGACTTGCCACAACTGTTCTGACGCATCAGTCTGTTGTTTTGGGTTCCATGTTGCTGAATTGGTAAAGATTAGAAATTAAGGGGGAAATAATTAGAAAATCATGGACAAAATACTTGGATGAAAACTGATTGTGAAATTGCCATTTGAAAGAAATTTTTAGTTCATTTTCCTCTTGTTAAGTTACATTTTAGCCTAACAGCAGGAAAATAAAAGTAAACTTAAGAAAATGCAAATAAATGTTACTCTTTAAACTGGTTAAAAACAGATTTTTGTAAGTTGCATTGTCCACTAGTTGCGTACGCACTTCTTATTGTGACATGAATATATTAAATGTTGTTGTGGTAACGTAAATATTTGTTTTCTTTAGGTAAACAAACATTAAAGATATTTGATGGTAATGATGCAGTAAAACGCAATCAATTTCGACTGATTTCCGTTCCAAGGATTGCAAAAAGTGAAGAGGTTGTGGTAAGAGACTCTCAAATGGATAACGTTGTTGTCTGATAGATTATGTTGGCTTCCAGCTATCCCAACATACAATGATTTACAAATGTAATGCATCTCACAACGACGATGACAAAACCTGCTTGTACCCTAGCTAGAATATTAGAACATAATTTGGTTCTATCTAGCACTGTTGATATTCCTGGTACTTCCGACCATTTTATGAGGTACTGAGGTTAGATGTGCAGACTGCAGAGACTTCATAGATGTATGCAGCAACCGTTATGTGTTAAGCTGTAACTCACCTATCCTGTCGAACATTCAAATGTGGTTTTAGTGATAGCTGGGATATTGGCTGGTATACCAGGGTTACTAACAAGCCCCCTATTTTTCTCTCTAAATATATAATATTTAATTATTTTAACTTCAGTCTGGAAAGTCACCAGAGGGTTACACGTACATGAAACAAACGATCTTTCAAGACTGCTACTTATATCCATTTTTCTGTTTATCAAACGAGGCGTACTAAAATTGCTGTTGAATAAAAACCCAACACTCTGCCGAATGAGGGAAAAGACAGAATGATAGGAGCTCTTCCTTAAAAGCACTCTGATAGATGCAGGGTAGGAACCTATACAGAATATTACCAAAGTTTTTCAGCTTCAGTCAATAAATAACGGTTATTATATACCCTCTTCTGCATTGATAATGTGCTCAAAATTAACTGAAATTTTGAAAATTACTGTTGATGATCCATATCTAAAGATAATATGCAGTGCAAAAAATGTTTGCTATTTAGGATTGCTTGGTATTTTTCAAGCATAATTATTTTGGCTGTTGTCTTCTTCCAAATTAAAAAAAATTCCTAGTCCACAAAAAGTGCCATCCTGGGACATATTCGCTCCAGGGTCTGTGGTGGCTGAAGGTGATGCGGGCTGTGATAGAGGGTCTCCAGTTTTGGAACTGGGCTGTAATGGCACAGGAAGGCTACAAAGTTCTCTCTGCTGCAGGTGGAGTGTCTTTACCTGGCCAGGAGAGCCCCAAAGAGGGTGATGTGGACCTGGGGAATGGAGTGACTGTGAAGCAGGGATGATTAGCGCATCCAGGGCTTAAAGTGGTCTCTTTGATTTAAACCTGGATCAAAGGCAGGCAGCTGTATGCCCCATAGCACAGAGAAGTACAACTTACCTCTCCGTACAAGATTGAATCCTGAAGCTGTGTCTCTATTGCATCTCACTACATTTATATTAAAATGATAAATCAATAGCTAGACAAAAATACTCCGGGCACCATCAAAAGCTATATATTGGGATTCTGGTGAGAAATTTCCTCTTGTGTTTTATATCACTAAAACTTCATTGCGAAACTATATGCTTATTTTCTATAGTGGCCTATCAGCTGTTTTTATGCTCCTTTAAAAGACTCTTTTAGAGTAAGTGAACTGACTGAATTTCATAACTGTGTCCCAACCATACATCAGTGCACATTTTCAGAGGAGGGCAAATCACTCTATTTTCTGTGGTGTTGTAGGAGGCAGCGCTGAGGGCATACTACGTAAATGATGATCAACAGCACTATGAGCTCCAGACATTTTCTCAGCAGACCTTGTTTTCTGATGACATCATCAACAGGAATGATGCCACTGAAGAAACCAACCCAGGTCCAGTGTTCAGAGAGGTGGTTCCCGAAGCTTGGATCATCAGAGCCAAACCTAAGGATCACGAAATAATAAGAATTTATCCTGGTTGGCTGAAGTGAGTGCTTTCCTTCTTTTTGCAAGGTTACTCTGGTCAGACAATTTTGCCTTCTGTTGTGGCCAGGAAAATGTTTTGCAGTCTTTAAAGTTGCATGAGGGTAAAGGAGGACAAAATCCACTACATTTCAAGGATCTCTGTTGGTGTAACAGATATTTATTTTTTTAGCTTTCATTTTTCTTCATTTCTAGACTCTGACATTAACTATTACATGATTTAGCCCCCAGTCGTGCATGTTTAAGAGTCAACAGGTGCCTGTCCATGATCGGGCATCTTTGTTTAGTTGTAGCACATATTAATCCAAGGAGACATAACTTTTTAAGCAAATTGTATCCATATACAAATGATGAGCAGAAGCTTTCTTGTGAGAACTTCATATTTTTAAAGGGAACATTAAGATAAAGATATGTATGTTACATTCTTTTCCATGTTAGTAATAGGTTAGATGATTAAAACAGGTTTTTTTTAAACCTTACTTGTTTTTTACTACTGAAACTGTTTTGCATTTTATGCACCCTCCACAGTGAAATAAGACTGATCAGTTTATAGTCACTTTCATTTTATAGTTGCACCTTTCATCCCAAAGGTTCCCGAATTGTTTCATGAGTTGTGTATCTGTCCTTACTGCTGAGATTGCCAACTTGGTCCCAATTGTATTGACAAAAATTTTACTCCACGGTCCTGCAAGTGAGGCTGCACAGTCAGAGGCCCATGGGTTTCAGTGGGCCTTCATATAGGCCTACATGTGTGAAGTCACCAGCAGTATTGAGGCTTCAGTGACTGGTCTCCGGGATAGTGGGTTCCCACCTGTCCAATGTGAGTGGGACTGAGGCTTGTGGACAGCTGAATTTTATAAGCTGGTAACAAGTTTTTTACTGAATGGGGCTGAATTGTAACTGGGATCTTAGAGGGAAGCTCTTCGGATCCTGGTACAATTTCCTGAGCTAATCCAACTGCATAAGTGATTTTAATTTTAAAGATTTTTTTTGTCTAGAGTGGGAATGGCATATATCTCTCTACGAATAGATAAGGAAAGCACCACCGAGACAGTAATTAAAGAAGTTCTCCTGCAATTAGGACGGCAGGTAAGCGATATAAAGCTCATAACCATTTCTTTGTGCCTTGTATGAACTATCCTAACAATTCATTCAAAAGAAAAAGCATACTTTACAAAAACTTTATGTATGACTTTCCCTGTACTAAATAGTCTTAATGCTCAGCGAATTATAACTCCTGCCTTGCATAGTGCCAAAATTGGGGATAAAACATTACCTGAACATAATAAAACAGACAAACAAGGTGGGTAGGGTGATATCTTTTATTGGACCAACTTCTTTTGGTGAGAGAGACAAGCTTTCTGACATGGCTACCGCACTGCATAATACAACAGACCGAATAGCTCTATACTGAAAGCCTCGTCCATTTCTTACAGGCCAAGCAAATTTACACATGCAAAGAGGAGAATTCTCAATCTAGAGCATACGTCTTTTGTGCTTGTGTATCTCTTGAATATTGAAATCAGGCTGATATGCAAGACCAAGTCCTGCTGGAACGGGAGAAAACCTTGCATTCTTGTTTGAGGTGTCTTCTGCATTGTCCAGCTCGTGGGATGTGCTGGCTAGTGCAGGTCACATGGTGGAACCTTCTCATAGCAGGGCCTGTTGACGCACTCATGCATCTCTCCTGTCCTTCCCATCTGCATTCCTGAATGTGCCAAGGGCAAGATGATAAAATGGGATGCAGTACCCTCAGCTGCCTTAGCATCTTCCATCCACAGCAACAAATGGACGTACACCTATTGGGTTCCTTTGGAGCCAGCTCCTTCACTTAGAAGACCGTGGTGCCTTAGTTTACTGTTTCATAGTTTATGTTAGACTTAGGATAAGTTAACTGTTAAGTCAAGTTTTATTTTTAGTATAGTTTAGAGAGAGCTGTTTGATTCCCATTACTGGTTCCATGGCAGACCTGAAGTTGAAGAGACCAGGCTTTCAAAGGTGCAACTCTTGTCCAGCAGACTTCCTAGCATGGCTGCCCATAATAGCTGTTTGTTGAGTGCTGCTGTACTTCGCGATGCTCTGTCTGCAGCACATTCAACCCAAGAGGACAGGCAGGGCAGAAAAGGTGGGAGAGTTGCATTGTATGTAAGGGAGTAGTATGACGGCTCAGAGCTCCAGTATGAAACTGCAGAAAAACCTGAGAGTCTCTGGATTAAGTTTAGAAGTGTGAGCAACAAGGGTGATGTCGTGGTGGGAGTCTGCTATAGACAACCGGATAGGGGGATGAGGTGAATGAGGCTTTCTTCCGGCAACTCACAGAAGTTACTAGATCGCAGGCCCTGGTTCTCATGGGAGACTTCAATCACCCTGATATCTGCTGGGAGAGCAATACAGCGGTGCACAGACAATCCAGGAAGTTTTTGGAAAGTGTAGGGGACAATTTCCTGGTGCAAGTGCTGAAGGAACCAACTAGGGGCAGAGCTCTTCTTGACCTGCTGCCCACCAACCGGGAAGAATTAGTAGGGGAAGCTAAAATGGATGGGAACCTGGGAGGCAGTGACCATGAGATGGTCGAGTTCAGGATCCTGACACAGGGAAGAAAGGAGAGCAACAGAATATGGACCCTGGACTTCAGAAAAGCAGACTTTGACTCCCTCAGGGAACTGATGGGCAGGATCCCCTGGGAGAATAACATGAGGGGGAAAGGAGTCCAGGAGAGCTGGCTGTATTTTAAAGAATCCTTATGGAGATTGCAAGGACAAACCATCCCCATGTGGAAAAAGAATAGTAAATATGGCAGGCGACCAGCTTGGCTTAACAGTGAAATCCTTGCTGCTCTTGAACACAAAAAAGAAGCTTACAAGAAGTGGAAGATTGGACAAATGACCAGGGAAGAGTATAAAAATATTGCTTGGGCATGCAGGAGTGAAATCAAGAAGGTCAAATCACACCTGGAGTTGCAGCTAGCAGGAGATGTTAAGAGTAACAAGAAGGGTTTCTTCAGGTATGTTAGCAACAAGAAGAAAGTCAAGGAAAGTGTGGGCCCCTTACTGAATGAGGGAGGCAACCTAGTGACAGAGGAGGTGGAAAAAGCTAATGTACTCAATGCTTTTTTTGCCTCTGTCTTCATGAACAAGGTCAGCTCCCAGACTACTGCACTGGGTAGCACAGCATGGGGAGGAGGTGACCAGCCCCCTGTGGAGAAAGAAGTGGTTTGGGACTATTTAGAAAAGCTGTACAAGCACAAGTTCACGGGGCCGGGTGCGTTGCATCCGAGAGTGCTAAAGAAGCTGGCAGCTGTGATTGCAGAGCCATTGGCCATTATCTTTGAAAACTCATGACGATTGGGGGAAGTCCCGGACGCCTGGAAAAAGGCTAATGTAGTGCCCATCTTTAAAAAAGGGAAGGAGGAGGATCCTGGGAACTACAGGCCAGTCAGCCTCACTTCAGTCCCCGGAAAAATCATGGAGCAGGTCCTCAAGGAATCAATTCTGAAGCACTTAGAGGAGAGGAAAGTGATCAAGAACAGTCAGTATGGATTCACCATGCCTGACTAATCTAATTGCCTTCTATGAAGAGATAACTGGCTCTGTGGATGAGGGGAAAGCAGTGGGCGTGTTGTTCCTTGACTTTAGCAAAGCTTTTGACATGGACTCCCACAGTATTCTTGTCAGCAAGTTAAAGTAGTATGGGCTGGATGAATGGACTCTAAGGTGGATAGAAAGTTGGCTAGATTGTCGGGCTCAACGGGTAGTGATCAGTGGCTCCATGTCTAGTTGGCAGCCGGTATCAAGTAGAGTGCCCCAAGGGTCCGTCCTCGGGCCGGTTTTGTTTGATATCTTCATAAATGATCTGGAGGATGGTGTGGATTGCACCCTCAGCAAATTTGCAGGTGACACCAAACTGGGAGGAGAGGTAGATATGCTGGAGGGTAGGGATAGGATACAGAGGGCCCTAGACAAATTAGAGGATTGGGCCAAAAGAAATCTGATGAGGTTCAACAAGGACAAGTGCAGAGTACTGCACTTAGGACGGAAGAATCCCATGCACCGCTACAGACTAGGGACCAAATGGCTCAGCAGCAGTTCTGCAGAAAAGGACCTAGGGGTTACAGTGGACGAGAAGCTGGATATGAGTCAACAGTGTGCCCTTGTTGCCACGAAGGCCAATGGCATTTTGGGATGTATAAGAAGGGGCATTGCCAGTAGATCGAGGGATGTGATTGTTCCCCTCTATTCGACATTGGTGAGGCCTCATCTGGAGTACTGTGTCCAGTTTTGGGCCCCACACTACAAGAAGGATGTGGAAATATTGGAGAGAGTCCAGCGGAGGGCAACAAAAATGATTAGGGGACTGGAACACATGACTTATGAGGAGAGGCTGAGGGAACTGGGATTGTTTAGTCTGCGGAAGAGAAGAATGAGGGGGGATTTGATAGCTGCTTTCAACTACCTGAAAGGGGATTCCAAAGAGGATGGATCTAGACTATTCTCAGTGGTAGCTGATGACAGGACAAGGAGTAATGGTCTCAAGTTGCAGTGGGGGAGGTTTAGGTTGGATATTAGGAAAAACATTTTCACTAGGAGGGTGGTGAAGCACTGGAATGCGTTACCTAGGGAGGTGGTGGAATCTCCTTCCTTAGAAGTTTTTAAGGTCAGGCTTGACAAAGCCCTGACTGGGATGATTTAGTTGGGGATTGGTCCTGCTTTGAGCAGGGGGTTGGACTAGATGACCTCCTGAGGTCCCTTCCAACCCTCATATTCTATGATTCAAGAGTATGCAAGGAGTTCCAGAGCAGGCTGAAAGCCCTACTGTTTCAAGAAGGTTTGGCTGTGAAGCCCCTTGGAGATGGTACCTCTTCAGGGTTCTGATCAGAAGGTGAAAAGTCCAATATGCGTTTTGGACACCTCTAGGTCTCAGAAAAAGACCACAATGCAGAAAGCTCTGTCTCTGAAATTTTGTTAGGAATGCTGTTTACAAAGATTGATATAAGTCCGTTATAATTTTTTTGTTTTCTAATTGTCCAGTTGCTATCACATCTATTAAAGTTCGCTTTCTGTATAAACTAGACAGTTAAGAACCATAATGCCTGACTTGAAAGAACTGGTACCAGGGAGAGGGGGCCAGTTAAAGTTAGTTTTGATCTCTAAATAAGTTAAGAGTTGCTTTAACAAATAGCTGGCCAACCGGGTGTATTCCATAGCATGCTCAATGTTTGAAGCTCTCTGGGTTCGCTATTTGGGTTAAGATCCGGATTATTTGCAATGGGTGGTGTTGGCGAGGGAAATGAAATTATTTTGCCTCTAGTTCTGTTCCAAACCCATAGAATAGCCTTTGCTAAAGGATTTATGTAAAATTCTGGTAGGCTAACAGTGTTTACACTGTGCTGTTTTCTGATGTGGTCCTGCAAAATTTATTCCTGTGATCGATCCATTGTCCCTTATCCTCTGGGCAAAAGGCTTGATAGCCAGTGCAAAAAGTAAAGGAGACAATGGACATCCCTGCCTAGTCTCTCTGTGTAATTGAAAGCGGGGATTTAACCCCATTAACTCGCAAAGCTGCTTTTGGGCTGGTGTGAAGAGCATTGTCCATTAAAGGAACTGGAGGCCAAAGTCCATTTGGGACAGGATGTGAAACAAAATGTTCCATTCTATTCTATCAAAAGCTTTCTCTGTCTAATGATAACAAGGGAATTGTATCTTTTAACAGTGATATGGCAGTATAGGAAGTGCAGAAGGTAAAGTCTTTTCCATTGTTAGGGAGAACCACCACAGAAGCTTCTTTCATAGTTTCTGGAAGTTCCTCCCCTAGGTGCTTCTCAAGGGACCCATGAATGCCTCCTCAAATATCTTGTAATATTCAGCTGGAGAGCCATTGGGTCCTAGAGTTTTAGCACTTTTCTTACTTTCTGTTGCCTCTAGGATTTCTTCTTCTGTTATTTTTTTAATCTAAAGTTTCTTTATCAATTTTGCTTATCTTTGGCAAGCCTGCTACTTCAGGATATTTCCAAATAACTTCAGAGCCTGGAGTATCTGAGGTATAGAGATTTTTATCGGCCGCAAAAGTAGCCCATATTTAATTAGAGAGTAACTATCTTTTGCTGACTGTCCATCCCAGCTATCAAATATTACTCCCACTGGTTCATGATCTGACCATATAATATTGCCAGTTTCTGCAAATCTTGTCTGCTTCATTAAGGATTTAGAGATTAACGTTACATCTCTTCTAGTATAGAACCGATGATGGTGTGACTAAAATGTGTAATCTCTTTCCCCTGAGAGATTGAATTGTTGGCCCAGCAACTTCAACGCTGCATCTGCTTCCCTGTCCCTCTTGTCTTTTTTATCAGATCTGTCCTAGTAAGGAATTGGTGTGCAATTGACGTCGTCTTGAAGTGTAATTCCCTTTTTCCCCACAGTGTTGCTGTGTTTTAAAGAAGTCACTGGAGGTTTTTAAGAACAGTTTGGACAAAGACTTGTCAGGGATGGTCTAGGTTTACTTGGTCCTGCCTCTGTGCAGGGGGCTGGACTAGATGACTTCTCAAGGTCCATTCTAGCCCAACATTTCAGTGATTATTTGGTGGAAATATGCAGTCCTGGAGCTAGAATGAAAATTCTGACAGCTTTACTAGTTTCCAAGAGCTCAATTCCTTCACAGTAGTGTGTAGTTCTCTGGTTAGCAGCTGCTATCACATCCCCTGGAGTTGATGAAACTGTGGGGAATTCACACTAATGCATCCTCTGAGATAGCTCTCTACATAGCTCTTGGTTTTGGCTACTTAGAAACACTATGTACATGTGGCATGTACGTTTCCATGGGCAGGAATGTCCATCATCTTAGCAGGGGGAATTCTGACTTATGTGAAAGCTCCTCCTGTACAATGTTTCTCGTATCCAGCAGAGCAGATACGTTTGTACATCAACTGTGATCGATGATTATCCAAAGTCTTTCTTTGAGAGATTCCAAATGCCCTCAGCCTCAATTAATAAAAAAAAGTGAACCTAGGGATTTTAGTTAGGGATTTTGTCACTTCCTAGTCAAGACCTGTTAGAAAGGTATCATGTCCCCAAAGTCTCATGAGCTATTCCACTAGAGTAATGGTAACACTGAATGTATGCTTTCACCAGTCCCGTGTAGCAGATGTATCTAGGGCAGTGTTGGACAATCATATTATTAAATTCTTTAATAGTAAGGATACCAGCTGTTTTAATCTGATATTTAGGTTTTTAGCTGCCCATTCTGGTGTGTGTGTCTGAAGTGAGTAGTATGGGGTGTTTCTCTTCTATTCTGAATGAATGATTCTAGGCAAGGACTAAGGGGTATGTAGATAAGATTCCTCCTCCTCCCCCGTCCTAATGTGTCAAGACTTTAAACAGTCCCATGTTCATGCAGTAGTGTTTTGCTCCCAAGACTATGGATCTGTGGTGTCAATAGCTGTTAAATAATTAATATACCTTGTTAGTGAAGTCTACTTCCACTGGTTGGCCTGATAGGCCAGTGTTCTCATTGCCATTTGGGAGAGCTGTGTTCCATTTCCCATTCTGCTCCCTTTGGCAAGATCATCTGTGTGGATATGTGTTAATAGCCCCACCAGCTGCTGAGCGGGGAGAGTTAACTGTGCTGTTCAGCAGCTCTCTCTCCAGTTGATTTATGGGTTGCGTTGGTTAGCTAAGAAATGGGGAAGTTTGAGGCTTTGTATGGGAGAGACAATGGAAATGGAAAGGGAAGGTTTTTCCAGAGAAGGAAAAGTACAATTCAGTATCTTCCATTGTGGTTTTCTTCTGATGGTGGAAAAAGACAAACTTTTGAGCTCCACAGAGCTCTTCTTGAGGCTTTGACCTGAAGAAGAGCTCTGTGGAGCTTGAAAGCTTCCCTCTTCCACCAAAAGAAGCGGTCCAGTAAAAGATATTGCCTCACCCAGCTTGGGTCTCAATTTAATTTAAGGTATTTAATTTTCTTGTGCCTGTTAATATTATAATGTAACTACTAAAAGAATACAAAACTATGGCAAATGTATCACCTATTACAACGTACATCTAAATGTGTTGTCTCTTGGCAGACGGAATGCCTCCAGAATTTCAAACTTCTAGAAGTACTTATGGGCAGTAAGCAAGGTAAATCAAGAGTTATTTGCTTTTCCATAGTTGAGTCCTGTAGTATGCATTTATGTATTTTAATTTTAATGCATCCATATTTAATTTTTACAGTTGATCCCTCAATAACTGATAGATACTTGGTGTATAATTATGCTGAAAAATGTTGAAATATTGAATCAGAAATGCTTTTTTTTTTAAATTGTCACCATAGATTTTTTGTATAGTACTTTACTCTTCCTTCTTTGTACTAAAAGAAAGCATATGTCAAGGTTGTGTTTTCCGAAGAGATGTGCAAATATGAGATTTTTCAGGTTAGTGGCCAAACCAAAAAATCACAGCGGGGGGAGGGCAGAAATCAGTTCAAGTTGAACCAAAACGGAGTTTTGTTTTGTTTTTTTTCCCTGCCCCCCGACGAAAAGCAGAAGTTGAAAAAATAGTTTTGGGTTGAAAGTTTTGTTTTTGAAGGCTTTAATTTTTTTAAAGAAAATAGTGAAATTCCAAAACAAAAAGTTGAAACATATTTCAGAAATGCTGAAACAAACTGTGTTACTGAAAATTTTTATTTGACTGAAACAATTTGCCAAAACTGACCTGAATTTGTTAATTGTTTTGGTTGACACTAATCTGCATTTTTTCAGTGGAAAAAATTATTTGCATGAGAAATTTCACCTAGCTGTCTTGTTTTCTGATGCATACTAACCCACTGATGAAAAGGACCGTTTTTTTGGGAGATACCCTTTGATGGCAGCTGTTATTTAATTGGGGTCAATAACTTTTTGTTATTAAAGCAGATCACACACAGTGATCCAGTGCAGAGAAGCTTTTGGGTGCTGCTGTATCTATTCCATGAATAAAACAAGAATCTGAGTTCAGGGATATCAAAGCACCTTTCAGGAACATGTAGGGCCGGATGCTTGGGTCCCTGTAGCGGCTGTGTTGCTCTGGTTGAAGGGACGGCCTGGTGGTGGAGAAGCTAGACTGGGACTCTCGATCTGGGTTCAGCCCAGTCCTGCAGGAACTCTGTGGTTGAGCAAGGAGCTAAGGATGTGTCTACACTGCAAAAAAAGGTGTTCTTAATGTGGATTAAAGTAGCAGGGAAGACACAGCATTCAGGTTAGCAGCTCGAGTTAAAGCCCCTAGGGTTAGGTCTACAGAGCTGCGCATGGCCTAGCCTACCCAAGCTATCTTGAATCCAGCTTGTGTGGGTAGCTAGCAATAGTAGTGAAGACATCCCAGTGCTGGCTTCAGTGCATGTAGTACCAGCCCGGCATGGATCCTGGCTATGCACTTGGCTCACTCGCCTGAGCTGAAGCCCACGATTCACTGCCTTCACTGCTCTCACTAGTTGCACTAGCTGGAGTCAAGCAAGCTCTGAGAAGCCAGCCCATGCGTCGCTTTGCTGCATAGAGATACAGCAAGGGGTGCCTGGGGTTGAACTCGTGCTTTTAACCCGAGTTAGAAGCGGAGGTGCTGTCTTTACTGCTGTATTACCAGAGTTAGTGAACCAGAGTTTGAAACACACCTTTTATTTTCAGTGGAGACGGACCCAAAGTGACTTGCCCAACGTGTTTCTCACACTCCGTATTCCAGGTCCCAATCTGTACAGTGGCAGGATATATTAAAGCGTGTGAAGCACTCGAATACTCTTGTGATGTAGGCCATAGAAATACTTAAGTAGAGTTTTAACATGTGATTGTAACCTTCCCTTGTTTCCTTTATAACCATAATGAATTATTTAATCAAAAATCAAAGACTTCGTCAAATTATTTCATCACAGAGCCCTGGGAATGGGGTTTATGTTTTGTATGTTCCTTTTGCTGATGATTTGGTTTTGCAGCAGTAGAGCAAAAGGGCTATTGTTTAGGGTCATGCATAACCCGTGCATCTGTTTGCCGCAATGGTAATGTATTAAAATGTCGTGGTTAGTGTTTTCTTCTTTATCTGTCAGGATGAATCATGTTTTTCCCAATCATCTGCTTGCTGCAAAATGTTACTATCCTTAAAATAAATATATATTTTAAGGGTGTGGGTCCAGAAGGGTACTTAAAAGCTTTGTGCAAATTAACAGTAGTGCAATTTAAAGCCTCTTCAGAGTTTTGCTGCTGAATATGGCTTGTAGCTTGTGTTTTCATATTTCTACTTGTATTTAATATTAAAGAAAGTGGTAAAACATAGGTCAAGGCATTAATTTCCCTAAAATAGTCATTTTTATTTGCTTTTGCTTTTTATTTGAGTTATGTAATAATTCAGACTTTTTAAAGAAAAACACTATCATTGCTTTTATTTCTCTAGTGCAGCGAATGGTGCTGGATGACCAGGAGATGATCCTTAGCAGACTTAAAGACATAAGAAAGGTAAACAAATAAAGAAATAATCAATCTGATTTGTGCTTTCTGATCAGTCGGGGGAATTTTTTTTCTCAATTTCTGGGTAATTTTAATTTTCATTAAACTGAGGAGCTACAGCGTCTATATAGGCTCATAAACAGAACAGTCAGGTTTTGGAGCATAAGGTTTTGTAATTTGTCATTCTTTCCGAGCACAAAGTTCTGGTTGTGACTGGCATTGCTTCAGAGCTACATCGATTTTTTTTTTTATGACATTGTGTGTTTTCTCCTACTATATAACGTGTTGTAGCATGATTAGTTCTGATTTCTTTATTCTAGACTTCAATACGTCAGATGACTCAAACAAGATTTTACATTGTAGAAAATAATAAATCTGTCGTGCGGGTAAATTTGTTTGTGGGTGGCTTGCCACCTCAACTCTCTGCTGAAGAATACACTAACATCCTCAAGGATGACTTAGCTATCAAAAGTAAGTCAAATAGTGTTATCTTTGTACTACAAATCCTTAATTTCACTGTCTATTCCTATGTATAGAATAACATGCTATAATAAAATTGTGTTCCTTCTCTTCCAATTTTGCTTATGTATGTTTGTGACCTCTTTGTTGGCAAATGTTGTCTTGCAAAGATCACCATTTTTTTTTCTTGTTACATTTTATCTGAAATAGTGACATTTTCCCTCTGGTTTTATCTTTAGAGCTCTGCAAATCCACAGATATCCACTTTATATCTGCGGGTCATTTTTGGGGCTATGATGCGGATACAAATTTTGTATCTGCACAGGGCTCTATGTATCTTAACATGCTGACGGTTCTGTGTAAGAAATAAAAATGTATGTGACAGCTTGCTTTTTGTTTAAGAGGATAGTTAGTAAGGCATTTGGGTCGCCTTTATATATACTTGGTTACACTGACCTTTTTAGCCATTTTTCTAAAAGTACTATTACTTTCTGTTTAAACAACACAGGTGAATTCTAAATGACTGCATTCTCTCTGAAAGTAACCAGCTGAAAGTCAGGTTTTTTTTTTTAATCAAAGAATATGTAAGATTATATTATTCGTTCCCCAAGAATACTACTTGGGATTTAACTTCCGTTAAGAAGGTAAATTTAGTGACGTTAACAGATACATTAACGTTACCTGTCATATGGCAGACAAGACATATGAATTCAAATTGTGGAAACACAATTTAATTCAGAAGTGAAAAGGGGTGAGTACATTTAACAGTTTTGTCTTTATTACAACTAATATACTCTATGCTACTGAAAATTCACTTTGTACCTTTCTACAGTAAACAAATGTATCTTTTCATAGTCTCATGTAGCTTTTACTTTTCAAAGTTAAACACCATAGGGAATGTGTCTTCTACTTGTACAAAGTTTAAAAAACAACCACCAAAGTTTAACGTGACTTTGGAAGAGAGAAAGTGTTAGTTGGGGATGCTGTTTGTTTTTTGCGATTTTAAAAGTTTTTGATTTGAAATCAGTGCTTTTAATATTTACTGTTCATCTACCCAAGTCTGAAGTACATTCTCTTCTAATCTTTGCAGCAAATCTGCTTTCTTTGAGTCATGTTTACTCAATGCAAGGTAAGCCTCTAACGTTTAAACTGAGTTCAGTATTGTAAAAACATACCAACCTCCGAAATTCAGTCACATGCTAAAAGCTCGAAGATGAATGAATGTATTAGAGATCTTATCTCAACAAAAAGTCTTTAAAAATCAGATGTAAAACATAGTAGCATATTTATATAAGCCCCAATATATTTTATTAGAACCTTCTTTTTCATAAGGTGGCTTCATGCCTCATATGAATGTGATGAAGTTCTGTCTGTTAAAAGTGAGTTTTGAATGGTAATTCTGAGCAGCTAAAAGAGTCAGTTGTTGCAGGCAATACTGTATATCCTATTCTCATTTTGTTCTTTTAAAAAATAAGATATTAGAATTTGTTTCTGTTGTTAAACTTAACAAAATGAAATTTCAAGGTCAGTGTTTCATAGATCCAGCATTTTGGTTTTAATAAGTACGCTGGAGGTGATGAGGCTAATCTGTTACCTTTGGAAAATTCTTACTTTCGTTTTTTAGATACTCTTCCATTGAACACACATGTTTTTTTTTTGAGATGTTGCTTTGCTACTGGTGTTAAAGAATGAGGTTTATTTCATCCTGGTGTGAAGGAAATTGGGGAAGTAAGAAACACCTCCAAAACCACTAGAATATTTAGCACCAGGAGTGCTGCAACCTGACCGCTACACATCTGTATTCTTAGTATCATCAGCAATGAAATAGAAAAGACTTTCTTTAGCTTTTATCCATCTTCCAACAAATGATGATTCATAAAAGCTTATTTTCAAATGCATTGTCCAGTCTCAATTTCAAATGACTGCATTAGTGAGGCGTCTGTGACTTAATTTGGGAATAATCTTCAGAAAATGTTCCTGATATCCTGTTTAGATACTCCTTTGCCCAGTTGCATTCCATTAATCCATACCAAAAAGCCTGTGTTTCCTGCTGATGTACCAGCTATATCCCTGTGTGGCTGGTAAACACTGATGTTTTTCCTCATAAAGGCCATTGGAACCCCCTGGGATGTTTTTGAACAACTCCTTTTCCTTATTTGTATTTGCAGCATGGAAAAGAATTGTAGATTATGATCCTCCTCTTACCCAGAGTTTATTTTAAATCCAGTTTACATGTATGTGTTTTACAGAGATCTCTGCCCATGAATTAATCAATGTAATCATTTTTATTGCTGTTTGAAGTCTGTTCGGTTCCTTGAATATTTTTCTATTTCTGCGACTCTCACCAACAGCGTGCGAAGCCCTAGCTGGGAATCATACCTTCCTGGACCATGGTATGATGGTTCTTAGGAAACAGCCAAAATTCCATTGATATTTTTGTTTCCTTTTAGCCACTATACTATATTGCAAGCTCCTATCTAACCTGTTATCCATGGTCCTTCCTCGTTTTGTTTGGCATTATTGGTTCCAATATTTCGTTCGCACTAAATATCTGATTTCTTTTGCCTGAATATTTTCCCCCTACTAGATGGATTTTTTCCCAACTAGCTCAGATAATGAAGCTCCTTTTATATGATTTCTCTGACCACTCTGATTTTTGTAACACCCCGGCAGTTTTGCCCAGCGCTACTTAGTGCAGGTCTTTCTCAATAATGTTCCCGGGTGGTTTGGTTTGGTTTTCCCTTTGTTTTCTGTGTTGATCGGTTTTTGAATTAAATACAAATAGTACTTTGCATTATTGGTAACCAGTTTATTGCAGTGGATGACTTTCTTATATTTTCTTAAGTACCATAAAACAATTTTCTTTCATGGTAATCTTTTTTTTCCCCTTACCCTAACTTCATATTAAGATAGTTTATTTGCAACTAAAGAATCACTTAAATACATTTGTTACAGGTGCTGTTGTACTTGAAATGTCTTGTTTTTCTGAAGCTGAAAGAATATATATGCTAGCTAAAGATACAATGGTCAATGACAAACAGCTTACTGCCACTGTGATTCCCGAAGTTCTGGTAAGATCTTTAGGTTACATCCTGTGTAAGAAAAAGCCAGGCTCTATTCTGAGAGAGAGGAGGGAAAATTGTTCGGTCTTTGAAGGGACGGGTGGACAAAAATAGACTGAAATTGAGCTTTTGTAAACATTATGATAAAGAATAGAGAAAGAGCCTGCATTTTCTTTCCCTGATGTGCATCTGTGTATGAATGGCTGCTTGTTTTGTTGATACTGATCGTGAAGTGCTGAACGGTGATGTGAGTGTAGTTACAAAGCTATAAAGGAGCGAAAAGCTATTTTAATTCTTTTCCCTATATTCTTTCCACTATCGCTAAAATTTAATGGAATCCCTTTACTTTGAATAGCAATTTGCTGTAGCATCTATACCAAAGTTACTTCAGTGTTTAACCTTGGTAGTTCTGGGATAGAGCCGCCTACTCTTGGTTGATCTCGTCTTTGCTGAGTGGCTGAATTCCCTTGTTTGGGGGAGGGGAGGGAGTGCACATGCATGTTTACCAACTTATATCCTGTATACTGTATTGTTGGGCTGCCTCCCAGGAGGAGTCTGGTCACCCTCTCCCTCCTGAGGGAGGAACAAGAGGGCCAAGGAATCTTAGGGTAAGTCTGGGCTCTAGGACACTGCATGGTGGGGGGTCCCAGAGCTTGGGCTGCAGCCCAAGCCTAAACATCTACACCGCAATTAAACAGCCCGTTAGCCTAAGCCCCATGAGCCTGGGTCTGCTGGCAGGGGCCAGCTGCGGGTGTCTAATTGCATTGTAGACATACACCTTGTTCCTCCTTTGAGTGACCTCTACATGTTCTTACTCATGGGATGGCTGACTGTGCAGCCTGCCAGTGGCTGTAAACATGCAGAGGTCATTCCGAGCTCTGATTGCAGGTGAAATCACCTTCTTTTTTATATCTAGAACTAATCACATCAACAAATATTTAAACTGTAATTGCATACTAAGTTAATCTGTACTCATTAGCTGACCTCTCTAGCATTCCAGTAAATAGTACAAAAAGTAGGTTAAGATGAAGCTGCAATCTTTCTTTAAAGCCATTGAAATATGTCACCTTGCAAAGAGTCTGTTTCTTTGCTCTTCCCTTGCCAGGCAATAGAGGCTGGCAATGCAGAAGGCTAGACGCTTTTCCTGAGAGGAAGATGCATCATGTGCTGTTTTGTGGCACCTCTGACTGGTACTTAGGATCGGCTCTGGAGAGGTTTTTTTAAAGGGCCCTGCCTGAAAGAGAAATGGAAGAGAGTTAACTCAATGCTGTGCTTTTTAAGCCAGGCAAAGTGAGAGTTCTATGGTAAAGTTATGACATAAGTCATTTACTTTGTTACAGTTTAATATCCTTAATTGAATAAACTTCAGTGAAGTATGCTTAATGAAGTGATCTGGTGAATTCTTCATCACTTGAAGTCTTTAAAAGAGGATTGGTTGTCTTTCTAAAAGATGTGCTCAAGCAGAAGTTGTGGGCTAGATGCAGGAATCATTTGGTTAAATTCCCTGGCCTGTGTTGTGCAGGAGGTTAGAATAGATGATCCTGTTCTGGTCTTAAAATCTGTGACTCTACGGAAGTGTTTTATTCCTAAACTGTACTGATTGACCAATAACTTTTCTGCTCCAATCTGCAAGTAATCTCAGAAAATATCAATTGATTTGAAAAGGACAGCATGTTATCCTCTTTGTGCCACCAAATAAATATTCCTAAAAATGTTTTTAATTTGTAATAACTTTCAGGTTTGAATGAGCTATTGGGGTGAGGTGGGGGAAAGCAGTTCAGTGAGGTTATTTTAAAACAGCATAATTGATGTAGGACCTAGATTAAAAAAATGTGGCATGATCATTTTCTGCAGAGCCATCAGAGGGCATACAAATGATATAACACATCCTCTTTCCAGAGATGTGTTGACATCCTCAGCACTGCAGCTATCTCTATGTCTGTAGTCAGTGTCTATTGTTAGTCTCTCCAATAAATTCTGAGCAAATGAGAAGACATCAGCAGTCCATCTCAAGGCCAGGTTTTTACAGGGCGCTATAGTGGCAGTAGCATCTTATGTTTGCACAGCGCTTAGGCCCCGCTCCTGATGGGGCTTTGTAGGTACGACTGAAGTATACATGTTAATAATAAGGATAATCAACAAATATCAAATTCAGTTTCTGTCGCTTTAAATGGGATTATTTTCCCTTGTGCTATGAATACCTGAACCCCGAATTGCTGGACCTGCGTGCAAACTAAAATCTTAAACTAGTTGAATATGATTTTGTTGTGTTGACAAATAATTCTTTAAAAAACAAATTTAGAGAGGGGATAAGGAATCGTGGCTGAAGTGTGATCCTAGGCAAGGAAATAAAATGAATAGCAGCCAGTTTGACCTAAAAATATGTGTTGAGTCATAAATTGCGGTAAATGTTTAGACAAATGTGTTCACCAGCAGAATTTGGCCATCCTGGAGAGCAGAGGCAGTAATAACTCCCCTCATAGTCAAATTATTGCAGCGGGTCCATTCTAGCCCCCCCCATCCCATTGCAACATTACAAAAATATATACAAACCTGTACACAGCCTCTTGTCAGGCCCTGGTGTTACTGACCTGTAAGTATAAAGAATTATGTGAAAGTTACAATATGCTAAGACTACCCCTCTTACCTGGACTCAGGGAGATGGGGATCCAAACTCTGGGAATCCTAAGTACCTTTCACACAGAGCTGCTGCAGAGCATACATGCGTAAATGCCTTCTTTGATTGCAGAGCTGCGTTTTCTGGTCTGCATCTCCTGGGTAAAAACTGCTCCCACTGGAAAAAATGGATACAGTTTGCAGCACAGAACACTTTATATTCATTTACTGTTTAAGCATTCCATTCTGCTGCCACCAGACATGGCTGTGCCCGCTATTCAGCAGAAATGGGATTAGGATGAATAACAACTCTGTCACAGCACAAAACTACAGCCTACTAATCCTGACAAATAAAACAACTTCTGGTGATGGCCACAGCATGTAAATCATGCCCCTCCAGCTATCTTTGGGGGATAAGGAATAAATTTCTGACTAAAAACCAGCCAATGCAAAACCCCTCTGCAGATTTCACTTTTCAATCATCATACCAAAGTCAGGATAAAGAAAAAACTATCCTACACAAGACTGTGTGAGTCACACATTCCATTCTACAAAGTAACGAACCGTAATTCATATTTTCCCGTTTGGCCTTCACTAGGAGATTAAAAAAAATTCTGCAATGCCAGCATGACCAGTGCACAGTCATCTGCACCAATAACAAAAGGAGACACGTACCTCTTAGAAGCTGGTGAAGCTGTTCTTCCCTGTACTGACCAGGGTAACCAGTTTGCACGGAATTATTTAGTCCCCACGCAAAGGAGAACAGTCTTCTAAATGAAGCTGCTTTGTCTCTTACAAATAGGAGTTTGGCACTGTCCTGCTTAACTTTACTGCAAATTGTAGGATTAAGAACAAATTAAGCATTATGCCGAACACACTTAAAGTTTCTTCCCTTACAGGATTCTGCTATTTAAGCATTTCTGTAGAATTGAGCTCCAAATTAGTATCTGATAAAGAATTACCTGTGGTAATGAGGAATCCTCTTGAGCAAGGTAAGCATGCATCCAAAGGTGGTAGGACAACCGAAAAAATAATTCACTCTCTAGCTGTCATATTACCACTTATAATTCCTTTTTGTAGTACAGCCGCTATCCCTGCGACTTCCTGTAATGCAGAATTTTTCACCCCATGATGTGCAAATATATGTACTTTTATCGTTATTGTCTTCTTATTTAATGTATTGTACCAATGTTTTTTCTGTTTATAAAAAAGCATTTTGTGTATAAGTAGAAACATTAAAGAAAAGTTTGATAGAGGGTACATGATTATATCATCTCTGTTTAAGCAAGATTGCAAGGTCCTTTCCAAACTGTAAACGTGTTTTTGATTAAGCATGGGGAGGGATTAAGTTTTTGATTAAGCAGAGGGAGGGATAGCTTAGTGGGTTGAGCATTGGCCTGTTAAACCCAGCCTTGTGAGTTCAATCCTTGAGGGGGCCATTTAGGGATCTGGGCCAAAAATTGGAGATTGGCCCTGCAGGGGGTTGGACTAGATGACCTCCTGAGGTCCCTTCTAACCCTGATATTTTGGGGGGGAGGGATAGCTCAGTGGTTTGAGCCCTGGCCTGCTAAACCCAGGGTTGTGAGTTCAATCCTTGAGGGGGCCATTTAGGGATTTGGGGCAAAAATTGGGAATTGGTCCTGCTTTGAGCAGGGGGTTGGACTAGATGACCTCCTGAGGTCCCTTCCAACCCTGATATTCTATGATTCTATGTAGGACTTGATCTGAAGCTCATAGCAATCAGTGGTAAGACACCTGTTTCGGTGGACTTTCAAGCAGGCTTTCAGGAAATGTTTGAATGAGCACATTTAAAACCAAATTCTGTATTGATCTCTAAAATTAAGGGAAATAATAGAAAATACATGCTTCTGACGCTGTTTTTAAATGCCCACAATATATTTTAAAACCAGATTTCTTGAGAAGAAAAATTAAAAGCAAAAGTTCTCATCATCATTCGACATGAGGTACTTGACTAGTTTGTAGTGTTTTAAAGTTTTCAGCTATAAAGCAGAGAAAGTGTCTGAAATATCCTTTTAACACTTGTCAAAGCTTTCCCCTCACATTTGGATAAGTCAAGCAGCAAAATACATTTTTAAGATTATTTTTTAATTTTTTCTGGGCTTGAGACCAAACGTCAGAACTATCAGAGCCCTTCCCACCCCCTCCAAAAAAACAAAAACCAACCCATCTTGTGGAGAAAGTTTTAAAAGACTGAAAATGAAGCTTTGACAATGCATCCTTCCTGAACCCTTAGCTGGAGTATTGATAAAATATGACAGATTCCTGTGTATTCACATATAATCCTTTGACATCTCTTTTCTTTTCTCCCTCACAGCATTTCTTAGTTAGCTTCATTGTTGTTCTATAAAGTGGGAACCTTTCCCTGTCTGCTCCGCTTACATTCAAAGCTAACCAATTTTCACGATGTACCCAATAGTATTGTCATACATGACTTCTGGGACGAAGAGAAGTAATTCTGCCATTTGCTGCCCCAGATAAGCAGCTGGATAATGCTCCCAGACTTTTAAGTCTTGTATCTGTTTTTAAACTTTGATAGCCTAAATTGTCCTTATTTGCATATTTATAGCATAAACTCTCAAACTGTTACAGCTCAAGTTGGCTGTTTTCTCTTTATTACCCACTAGAACCTTAGAAGCTGTAGGTAGAAAAGCTCTCTCCCTGCCAGTGCAAGATTTTTACTGTAGCAGTGTTTCCAGCGTTTTGTCCATTCTACTTTTCCAAGTCCCAAGTGAAAGGGGCTATGGCCCGGAGGATCTCTTTGGAGACTAATATGCTAAAGACAAACATTTTCATAGTGATAAGTGATTTGAGACATCTTAAAAGGCCTGATTTTCAGAGTGCAGGTGCTCTGTGCTTTCTGAAAACCAGCACCTGTAAGATATCTCAGGTTAGGAACTCAAAAATTGGGACACCCAAAGTCATTATTCGCTTGTGAAAATCTTGGCAAACATATCTCTGTATCAGGAAGTATTTCCTCATATTCAGCTTACATCTTCCATATCTTGGTTTTATCTCGTTACCCTTAGTTACACTCCATTGTAACGACAAGTAGGGAACAATCCCCATATTATGTGGGCACTAGTTTCTCCCCTTCCTAGGTGTAGATACCCTTCAATGTTTGTAGTCTGTCATCATGATACCCTTAATCACTGCTTAGCCAAACTACTGATATTTTAGTTCTTTTTATCTTTCCTCATAAATCGTTCCTTCCAGCCTCTTGCCAAACTGCTGTTCTCCGAATGCTCTCCCGCTGGTGAATGCCCCTGGCCATGGATAAAGGGCCACCACCAACACTTGTGTTTGGAGACTCTCACTTGAAAATGCCTGATAGAGAAATAAAGAAGCACTTTTTCTTTGTATCTCTATGGAGGCCGTTCTTCTGTAATGCCTGGCTGCAGGAAACAAAAAGAGGGGAGCTTGGCGTTTCCTGATGTTCGTCCAATCGTTTGAGAACAGCTTTAAAAGAGATCCAATACCATACTTCTGGCATCTGTTCCTTACCGACTTCCAGTGAAGCCCTGTGTGCTGCTTCTGCACAATATGTTTACCTTATCCCAGAAACGGCCTACTTGGTCCATCGCCCACAATGCAGGGAAGTGTTCTTCTTTCGGGGTGGTTTCTGGAAGGATACCCACCCCCGCCCCTCTGAGCTTTGGGAGCTCTGGTGAAAGTAGTGCCAGATGAGGTCACGTGACCACACGCTCACAGCACTGAGTACTTGAGGCTGAGGTTATAAGAGAGATGTGGCCCCAGCTACTCCAGTCTCTTCCTTTCAGTGGTTAGGTGTAGGGGTACTGACAAAGTCAGAGAGAGGCAGATCAGGGCTCATTTAAAACTTCCCCAGTGTTTATTATTAAATTCTGTTCATAGTAGTGATTTGATAGCTTGTGCGATGGCACTTGGCTTTTGTGGGGATCAGGATCACTGGACCTTTTTGGTCATGACTGTTCAGGCTTTCAAGGGTCAGAATCAGAAGGGTAGATTTTAGTGGCATGCGTCATGCCCCCTCTGTTTTCCTGGATTGCTATTTGGTGCTGTTACCAGGGGTTGTCAACCCCCAACCGGGGCAACTTAACTATTTCACTCCAGGCGGTGTTAGGAATAAATCAACAGGAACACAGCAATTCTGTCTGATAAGATTCATGCAAGTAAATGTACTCTATCTAACACTGCAGTTTATTAGATTTAAACACACACAGACATAAGCGGTAGGTTTAGAACATCCCAGATATTTACCTAACATCTGGAACGGTATTGCCAGTTGCTCACCAACCAGGGAGAAAGGGTGTTAAGAAAAAACATCTCTTAAGATGGCTTCAGAGGACTCCTCCAAAGTACACTCAATTAGCTAATCCTTTAGAACTAACTTCTACAAAACACAGAGGCCTTAATGACCCCTACTGTGTCATCACTTTTCTAACTTTCAATAAACTTTTAATATCAGAGGCGTCTAGACTCAAGGTTTTCCAACCACCAAGTTTTCAGTCTCAGTTATTTACTTGTCTGTTTCCTCCTCCCATTCTGATTAGCAGAAACTGCTAGCTAGATATGACCTTGCTTCTAAATGCTTGTCTCCAAATTAACCCTTAACTATGTGGTGTTCTATTTCATTAACTCAGGGTGGCTGAATGCACATAATATGGTCGCAATTAGCTTGATCGCATTCTGGGGTATACACACCCCTCAAATCCAGGGCAACAGTGTGACAGACCTTTACATTTCAAGACTACACTGACAGGCAGCGGAGGCTCCATGGGCTTCGTGGCAAGAGAGGCCTGGAGCCGAATGTAACAGTTACATTATCAAGGGGAAAAAACCCCAAAAAATCCCCCGAATTTGTATGGGATAATAAACCTCATGCTTCATGGCACGAGCCAGTCTGTCACTGATGGGGCTGAGGAAAAATATTTCCTGTTTGGTAGGTCATTCCCTAGCTCCACCCAGTTCAGGTTTCTTGCACCTTCCTCTGAAGCGTCTGGCACAGACCACTCTTGGAGACAGGATGCTGTATTAGTTGGATCACGACTGTGATCCAGTCTGGCAATTGCTGTTTTCCTAGACAGGCCTTCAGGCTCCATACAGGGCCATTTATGACTTTTTTTGGGGGGGGGGGGAGTATTTATAGCCCCAGTGGATAGGCTTTGCTGTTTGAATCCAATGGAATCAGATTATTGAAATGGTTCTTTCTAAAGTCAATAGAAACTGATCCTGATATGCATACCTTGGAAACATTGTCATGTAATGGCTTAATTTTTACCACATGACCAAACTAACTATACTTCACTGTTCCAAAAGGCAAAATCAAATATGCACTCAAGCTACACTATTACCTGTTGATTGTGGGGTTTTTACTAAAGGACTGAGTGGATATTCTTGGAATACTGTAATAATCTAACATGTACACATTTGTTCTAACACCTCTTTGCATCTTCCAGCATACCAAGCTACCACAGAACTGCTGTCCACTACTTGTGTTTGTGAATCCCAAAAGTGGAGGTCTGAAAGGCCGAGATCTACTCTACAGTTTTAGAAAACTGCTAAATCCTCATCAGGTTTTTGAACTCACTAATGGAGGTCCACTGCCTGGGTAAATCTTTTATCAAAGTAGTTCTTTAGTTAATGGAATAGTATCACCAAAATTGTAATTTACTGATACTTGTTAGATCTCTCACTCTCTCACACGCACACACACACACACACACGCTAAAATTTCCTCCAACTCATTTTATTTACTCCTGTATTGCATGTCTGAGAATTATACTGCAGGGCCGCTCTTAGAAATAGTGGTCCTTATTTTAAAAACAAATGGAAAACGTTCATGTTTCACAAAGAGGAGAGGACAGAATTGTTTCTGATGTGTTTATCAGTGCTAGCACAGTAAGGTCCAGATCCTGATGGGAGCATGTTCACATCACCATAATGCAAATAACTACTGGTGGTTAACACAATTGATGGAGAAGGAAGGGAGGAAAGAGAGGGCTTTGAGCAACACTGCTGTCAAGTCGTAATTTTTGCCACTATTTCCAACCATTCTTAACGTCAGGTAATAGAAAGGTGTAATAAATGTCTCTTTCTGCTCTTGGAATTTGTCTACAGTTGCAGAAATTTAAGAAGAGCTGATCATTCAGAAATGGTAACCCCATTTCTAAGACGCAAGAAACAATGTGATGGGAAAAACAAAAGCAATGTGTTACCGTTCTTTTAAAAACACAGTTTAGTCACCAATGAGTAATACTATTGCCTGCTTATTATAATGGAAAAACATGTTTTTTTTAAATCCTACTACATTGTTTATTTTTGTACTACCTAAATTGACTCCAGTGCCTTGAAATAAAACTCTCAAAAGGTTAACTTTATTATTTTACCTTCATCCAGTGCAAGTGGGTTCAACAGTCCATAATGAAAAGGCAGTAAAAAATAAGCAATACTGGTCTTCTAACTTTGTCAGGGCCATGGTTCATTTAGGCTAGTTCCTACAGCATGACTGTCAGTGTTATGACCATTGAACCTATTGTTGGCTGCAGTATTTCTCTGTTACTATGGGCAAGACACTTCACCTCTTTGGGCCTCAGTTTTCCATCTGTAAAATGGGAAGAAAGTTAAACTCCATTGTAAAGTGCCTTGATTGGTAGGGCTGAAAAGTGTTGTGCAAATGGTATCCTATTTAGAGTCTCATTTTTTACAAATCCATAGTGGTACAGAAATACCCCCTTCCGGTTTTGGCAGTCCTAGCAGTATATGCCAGCGGACAAGGAAATGCACACTGCATAACCAAATACTGCATTCAGCATGAATGACAATGGTGTTGTAAACTTCCATTTAAAACCAGATAGAAATCTCAAGCAATTAACAGAATTACAGATGTGTAAATGAAAACACAAATAGACATATTTTAAAAATGTAGACTGTTTTGTGTCTGTGTCTTGTTAATTCCCTGTGGGAGAGAACTCAACTACCATCTTTGGCTATGGGGAAAAATAGTGAGAAATATAATTTCAAGTTTGTTAGGCAGAAAACTCCTCTGATGGTTCTAAGTTTTATTGTCCATTTTATCAGCTTTTCTTAATCGAAACTCTAAAGCGAGGGAAGGAAAAAGCAATAATTACTAAGAACTCTACTGTGTTATTTTAAAGAGAATATTGTGGAAGGCCTAATTAATTTTCTGCATTACAGTGTAATATTATTTCTTATGCTTTTGTTTTAAATGAAGATTTCATACATTCTCTCAAGTTCCCTATTTCCGAGTGCTGGTGTGCGGTGGCGATGGCACGGTTGGTTGGGTCCTGGGTGCGCTGGAGGAAATCAGACACACCCTTGTCTGTTCAGAGCCCTCTGTAGCCATCTTACCTTTAGGAACAGGTGAGAAATAACAGTATGGAATAGGGTTGATTTGAGGAATGTTAATGGGAAGCTATTAAGCATGCTCAAAACTTAGTAGTTTTTCTTTGTGTTGATTGTTCTCATAACATGGCACCTGTGACTGACTTTGTAGCCTGAATGACATTTTGTTTTAGTTTCTTATGTTATATTCAAGCAATCGGCATGCATCCAGGAGGGAAACAGCTAAGACCATTTCATCAGTATTATTCTTTGACTCTTCCATCCTGCCTCAACGGGCTTTAAAGTTGCAGCAATCCTCTGTTCAGAACCCATCAGTGGTGCTTACAGCATTGGCCAAAGCAGTGGTTCTCAGCCCGCAGGCCACTTGCAGCCCAATCAACACACAGCTACGGCCCATGTGACATCCTCAGGGCCATACAGGCAGTGTATAGTGTGGATGCAGCGCACATAACACACAAGAGAGCTGCATATGTGGCTCACAGTGGTAAATAGGTTGAGAACCACTCGCCCAAAGAGTCACCAGAAGTGGTATGAACGTAGCACTGTGGAAGTCCAGATAAACCAGATGATCTCATTTTCTGTATTCGGGTTTCCAGAAACACCCGGACTGCTGCCTAAGGGCCTAACCAGAGGCAGCAGCTCTCTAGTTGCTTTGCAATCCCAGTGCAATAGTGGGATCAATTCTCTCTCTAATCAGCTCCTCTTTACTCTGTCTACCTGCTAGTGATGCGTGTCAGCTGCTCTCTCCTTCTCTTGCTGCCACTATCCTCTTGCTTGTTCACCTAGGTTAGTGCCCTGTTTTCCTCCCTTCCCATATGCTACAGCCCTCCCTCCAGTAAGTGACCAGTCCCACTCCCTCTTACCCTAGCGACTGCCTGGTTCTCCAGTCCTCCCACGCTTATGATTATTATAGAATTACATCTAAGAAAAGGCCAGAGTGTTTCTCCCCACCTGTAGAATACACCTGAGAGTTATTCCACATTGATTTAGGGGCTGTCTCACTGACTGAATATGGTTATAGGCAGGATTCTTCTACAGTAAAATTAGACATGAAAACTTTTGTACATCCTTAACATATTGAAATGTGATTAATTTGATCGAGAACCTGTGAGGCTGGAAATGTATTGAGACTAATTAGTTTATAATAAATTCTCTTGATCACTGTCAGAAGCATTGACGGGGGGGGGGGGGGAATTCATTAGCATTAATGTAAACTTAAAGTGAGAAATTAGAAATCTGAATTGAGAAAAGTAGAATAAATTAATCTTCCCATAGCACTCAGACAACTTATCAGATGCAAGTGATTAACTCTTATTTTTCCCACACTCATTCTATGGCTTATAAGCTCAGCATGAGTTCACAGGCTTATCAAGAAAAAAGGAACAAAACTTAGGATCTTCAACCTATTGCGTGCAGAAAATAATTAACCACTGAAACGTGGATTAACAGACAGCATGAGGAACTAAAAGACAGATCTGGTCTCTCTTCACCCATCTGGGGGGAATATTTATCATATAAAGGGACATGTCATCTTCAGTACCTAACAACTTACTTTTTCCCTCTGTGTCCATTATGAATTCACTTTATTTTGTCAAGTTGTTTTATGCCAATGCCTTGCCAACATGGTCGCTCATTCCGAGTTTGTGTCCACATGCAGTCATAAGGAACAATTGTTTCATGTCATGTAATCATAGAATATCAGGGTTGGAAGGGACCTCAGGAGGTCATCTAGTCCAACCCCCTGCTCAAAGCAGGACTAATCCCCAATTTTTGCCTCAGATCCCTAAATGGCCCCCTCAAGGATTGAACTCACAACCCTGGGTTTAGCAGGCCAATGCTCAAACCACTGAGCTATGTCCCCCCCCCCCCCCCCCCCCCCAGTATACAGCCAGTATCTCATGGTAATGAATTTATCTAGATGCAGAAAATCTTTCATGAAATGCATGTGCTTAGCTGTGCTAACAAAATACAGTTGGGAACTAAATTCACAAATAGGTGAATCGTGCGTGACTGTATGCAAAATGCCTTGTCCCACATTCTGCCTGTAACCAGGACCTAGAACATTCTAATGAATTTACCTCACCGCTGTGGGGTGGCAACATATTGCTGACAGATAAGGCATGGCTGTCAACAACATTAGCTCCTCTGTTTCAGGCAGAGCATGGCTACCTAGCATAGCCAACACTTTCTCCACTGTGCTAAGGCCAACAGACTTGGTACTTCAGCGTGCTTGCTGCTTGGGGACAGAAACAGACATGACAGTTGCTGGCAGCTGGGGAGTCCCCCATCTCCATCATTTTCCTTTGTCTGCCTAATGCCAGGTGTGGGGCTCTACCCCACCCCTTTCCTGCTAAGAGGTTTTCTAAGAAGAATCCCACCCTTTTTGTTTCAAAGTTCTGACTAACAGTTGGACATCTAAATGCCATTCATGTTCCAGGGCTGCATTTGCCTTTTGGGGAATTTTTCTCCTCAGCTCTGTCTCTTTTGAAGTGCTGCAGCATTTGGTGACCCTGCAGTGGGTTGGGGAGACGGGTAAGCTGAGAAAGCCAAAGGGGAGGCTTGTGCATCCTCCCTCACTTGCCTTATAGCGTGTCCTATTGGGGAACGTGGCTCTGTCTGTAGACAAACTGGAGTTGTCCCTCTGAGCCCCATCTGTGTGAGGTCACCTTGGCCCCCTCCTCTAGGGATACCCTTCAGTTTTTACCTAGACTACTGGGTTACAATAATTTTCATGCAAGCATATAGTATGTCATGCCATAGGCCTTGGTGATTTCCCCTGTAGGGCTGATGTCAAGCCACAGGACTCCGAGAGGCCCTCACTTTAACCAGCTATGCCATGCTGGGCTGTCAAGCCACAGGTATTTGATGTCCCAGCATTATCCTGTTCTCTTCTCTGGACATCAAATCTTTGGACACTGAGTTAGATGCTTAGGCATATCAGTTCCAGGCTCTTAGTACTTCAGTGTGAGAATATTTTCAGAAATACAAGGGATAAGGTAGTAATGGAGTCATCAAAACTATTTAGATTCTGGCCCCAGCCAGGTACGATAGGAATGTGGGTCATTCTGCAAATTGAAGCTGTCTCTGAAATTCAGCAGGAGAGAGTACTGCTTTGCCAGGGGCTGTACTAAAAGGAATGCCCATATGCTATTGTGGAGGCAAGGTTCTCAACCTCCTCACAGCCAGCCTTTGTTTGAAGTTAGACCCACAAATTGGTGCCAGGCTCTTTCAGTTTGGAAGCAAATGGCTGCTCTCGGCTTTGTTGCTCTTTGAAGCTTTGCAAGAATCCACAGGCATGCTATTGTCCCATTCCCAATCTCTAGCAACCTGGAAATGGCTGGACCCACTCAGAACAATGCAACCCATGTTGCAAGAACCTGAGTGGCGTTCCCGTTCCTTTTTCTGTCCTCAAAGAAGGGGAGAAAAACAGAGCCAGGCTCTGTCTGAATCATAGAATCATAGAATATCAGGGTTGGAAGGGACCTCAGGAGGTCATCTAGTCCAACCCCCTGCTCAAAGCAGGACCACTCCCCAATTAAATCATCTCAGCCAGGGCTTTGTCAAGCCTGACCTTAAAAACTTCTAAGGAACGAGATTCTACCACCTCCCTAGGTAAAGCATTCCAGTGTTTCACCACCCTCCTAGTGAAAAAGTTTCTCCTAATATCCAACCTAAACCTCCCCCACTGCAACTTGAGACCATTACTCCTTATCCTGTCCTCTTCTACCACTGAGAATAGTCTAGAACCATCCTCTTTGGAACCACCTCTCAGGTAGTTGAAAGCAGCTATCAAATCCCCCCTCATTCTTCTCTTCTGCAGACTAAACAATCCCAGTTCCCTCAGCCTCTCCTCATAAGTCATATGTTCCAGAACGCTAATCATTTTTGTTGCCCTTCGCTGGACTCTCTCCAATTTATCCACATCCTTGTAGTGTGGGGCCCAAAACTGGACACAGTACTCCAGGTGAGGCCTCACCAATGTCGAATAGAGGGGAACAATCACGTCCCTTGATCTGCTGGCTATGCCCCTACTTATACATCCCAAAATGCCATTGGCCTTCTTGGCAACAAGGGCACACTGTTGACTCATATCCAGCTTCTCGTCCACTGTCACCCCAGGTCCTTTTCCGCAGAACTGCTGCCTAGCCATTCGGTCCCTAGTCTGTAGCAGTGCATTGGATTCTTCCGTCCTAAGTGCAGGACTCTGCACTTATCCTTGTTGAACCTCATCAGATTTCTTTTGGCCCAATCCTCCAATTTGTCTAGGTCCCTCTGTATCCTATCCCTACCTGCCACCATATCTACCACTCCTCCTCGTTTAGTATCATCCGCAAATTTGCTGCGAGTGCAATCCACATCATCCTCCAGATCATTTATGAAGATATTGAACAAAACTGGCCCCAGGACCAACCCTTGGGGCACTCCACTTGATACCGGCTGCCATCTAGACATGGAGCCATTGATCACTATCCGTTGAGCCCGACAATCTAGCCAACTTTCTACCCACCTTATAGTGCATTCATCCAGCCCATACTTCTTTAACTTGCTGACAAGAATACTGTGGGAGACCGTGTCAAAAGCTTTGCTAAAGTCAAGAAACAATACATCCACTGCTTTCCCTTCATCCACAGAACCAGTAATCTCATCATAGAAGGCAATTAGATTAGTCAGGCATGACCTCCCTTGGTGAATCCATACTGACTGTTCTTGATCACTTTCCTCTCCTCTAAGTGCTTCAGGATTGATTCCTTGAGGACCTGCTCCATGATTTTTCCGGGGACTGAGGTGAAGCTGACTGGCCTGTAGTTCCCAGGATCCTCCTTCTTCCCTTTTTTAAAGATTGGCACTACATTAGCCTTTTTCCAGTCATCTGGGACTTCCCCTGATCGCCACGAGTTTTCAAAGATAATGGCCAATGGCTCTGCAATCACAGCCGCCAACTCCTTTAGCACTCTCGGATGCAACGCATCCGGCCCCATGGACTTGTGCACGTCCAGCTTTCCTAAATAGTCCCAAACCACTTCTTTCTCCACAGAGGGCTGGCCACCTACTCCCCATGCTGTGTTGCCCAGCACAGCAGTCTGGGAGCTGACCTTGTTCTTGAAGACAGAGGCAAAAAATCATTGAGTACATTTAGCTTTTTCCACCTCCTCTGTCACTAGGTTGCCTCCCTCATTCAGTAAGGGGCCCACACTTTCCTTGGCTTTCTTCTTGTTGCCAACATACCTGAAGAAACCTTTCTTGTTACTCTTAACATCTCTTGCTAGCTGCAGCTCCAGGTGTGATTTGGCCCTCCTGATTTCATTCCTACATGCCCGAGCAACATTTTTATACTCTTCCCTGGTCATATGTCCAGTCTTCCACATCTTGTAAGCTTCTTTTTTATGTTTAAGATCCGCAAGGATTTCACTGTTAAGCAAAGCTGGTCCCCTGCCATATTTACTATTCTTTCGACACATCGGGATGGTTTGTCCCTGTAACCTCAACAGGGATTCCTTGAAATACAGCCAGCTCTCCTGGACTCCTTTCCCCCTCATGTTATTCCCCCAGGGGATCCTACCCATCAGTTCCCTGAGGGAGTCAAAGTCCGCTTTCCTGAAGTTCAGGGTCCGTATTCTGCTGCTTCTCTTTCTTCCCTGTGTCAGGATCCTGAACTCGACCAACTCATGGTCACTGCCTCCCAGATTCCCATCCACTTTAGCTTCCCCTACTAATTCTTCCCGGTTTGTGAGCAGCAGGTCAAGAAAAGCTCTCTCCCTAGTTGGCTCCTCCAGCACTTGCACCAGGAAATTGTCCCCTACATTTTCCAAAAACTTCCTGGATTGTCTGTGCACCGCTGTAGTGCTCTCCCAGCAGATATCAGGATGATTAAGGTCGCCCATGAGAACCAGGGCGTGCGATCTAGTAGCTTCTGCGAGTTGCCGGAAGAAAGCCTTATCCCCCTGGTCTGGTGGTTTATAGCAGACTCCCGCCACTACATCACTTCTAAACTTAATCCAGAGACACTCAGGTTTTTCTGCAGTTTCATACCAGAGCTCTGAGCAGTCATACTGCTCCCTTACATACAGTGCTACTCCCCCACCTTTTCTGCCCTGCCTGTCCTTCCTGAACAGTTTATAACCATCCATGACAGTACTCCAGTCATGTGAGTTATCCCACCAAGTCTCTGTTATTCCAATCACGTCATAATTCCTTGACATCACCAGGACCTCCAGTTCTCTCTGCTTGTTTCCAAGGTTTTGTGCATTTGTATATAGGCACTTGAGATAACCTGCTGATCGCCCCTCATTCTCAGTATGAGGTAGGAGCCCTCCCCTCACAGACGTTCCTGCCTGTGCTTCCTCCCGGTATCCTGCTTGCCCACTTACCGCAAGGCTTTGGTCTCCTTCCCCCGGTGAACCTAGTTTAAAGCCCTCCTCACTAGGTTAGCCAGCCTGCTCGCAAAGATGCTCTTCCCTCTCTTCGTTAGGTGGAGCCCGTCTCTGCCCAGCACTCCTTCTTCATGGAACACCATCCAATGGTCAAAGAATCCAAAGCCTTCTCTCCGACACCACCTGCGTAGCCACTCGTTGACTTCCACGATTCGATGGTCCCTATCCCAGCCTTTTCCTTCCACGGGGAGGATGGATGAGAACACCACTTGCGTCTCAAACTCCTTTATTCTTCTTCCCAGAGCCACGTAGTCCGCAGTGATCCACTCAAGGTCATTCTTGGCAGTATCATTGGTGCCCACGTGGAGAAGCAGGAAGGGGTAGCGATCCGAGGGCTTGATGAGTCTCGGCAGTCTCTCCGTCACATCGCAAATCTTAGCCCCGGCAAGCAGCAGACTTCTCTGTTTTCCCGGTCAGGGCGGCAGATAGATGACTCAGTCCCCCTGAGGAGAGAGTCCCCGACCACCACCACCTGCCTCCTTCTCTTGGGAGTGGTGGTCGTGGAACCCCCAACCTCAGGACAGCACATCTCATGCCTTCCAACCAGCGGAGTCTCCTTCTGCTTTCTCCCCCCAGACGTACATCTGACCATGTTCCTAAAGGAGCCAAAGTTCAAAATGGAGGTTCTCAAGTTCACTCAGACAATCGTATGCAGATTATCTTCCATCGATCCATTTACCACCCCACAAACTATTCCCTTGTTATGTACGAGGGTACCACCTGTTCCAGCTCCAATCAATGCCATTCAGTCAGACCCACGCTCTGAGTCTTTTCCATGGTACTGTTAATAACAACTTCAGGGAAGGATGGCATTCATGCCTATCCTTTCCTAGACAGTTTGCTGTTTAGGGCTCTGCATAGAGAGAGAGCATAAACCACACACAGCGTTTCCATTTCTAGAGCATCTTGGATTCATGACAGGCATGACATCAGGGAAATCAATCATAGGTTTTGAGGCGATGATGGATACCATTAGGTACAAGTCTCATCTTGGGAGAATGTTGGCAGAAGATGAAGATGGCCATAAAGGAAAAGAACAAGTGGTGCTTCCAAAAAAAAAAAAAAGAAAGAAAAAAGGTCCAATCTCTGCAGGAGGCGATTGAGAATGCAGAGATGTGTTTCAATGGACCTAAGTTCATGTAATTGTTATCCAGCTACTCTTTTAAGCCCCTCTGCATCTCTCCTTATCACAGTGATTGGCAGATGTCAAGGTCCTATGGCCTGTTCTTCCATTCCTTCAACAAGTGAATGCAGAGAATCAGATTGTTTGAAGGAATCTCTCATGAGTGAACCAGGCAGAGCCACCCTTTTGGTAGACCCTAACCGAAGATAATGGGAGCTACATGCAGTTCTGTGCTGTAAAAAGCCCATCGTAGGGGATCTGAAGATACCAGCATGCTAGAAAATAATAGCATAATTTTATCTGAGTTTACTTTAAAATTCCCTTTCTTCAGTTTATAAGGACCATGGCCCCGGCCCATTGTGGAAACAGAGTGGACATCTAGAGTACAGATGAAAATTGATATCCAAAGCTTTGGGATTATTTTATCTGGGGAAATTATTCCCATACACTTCAGTAGGAGAAACTTTTCCTTTGCAAAATATTATCATCCCAACTTCTAGTGTAGGAAAATAAGATGGCATTATCGTTGGTGCAGAAGTTGTCTCAAGCAATAGAAACTTCATTGGAGGACTGGTCTGCGTCTGCTTCTGCTTGCAAGCAGGCTGAAATTTAACAGCTCGGTGCACCCTTTATAACAGGTCTCCCGACCTTATTACTGTGAGAGGAAATTTTCAGGTGATATTGTATAAATATTCCTATTTTGTGTGTCTCTTACATAAAGCTGTACATGATATATTTAATAATTTACTTACAGAACAGCAAAGACAACATAGAATCATAGAATCATAGAATATCAGGGTTGGAAGGGACCCCAGAAGGTCATCTAGTCCAACCCCCTGCTCGAAGCAGGACCAATTCCCAGTTAAATCATCCCAGCCAGGGCTTTGTCAAGCCTGACCTTAAAAACCTCTAAGGAAGGAGATTCTACCACCTCCCTAGGTAACGCATTCCAGTGTTTCACCACCCTCTTAGTGAAAAAGTTTTTCCTAATATCCAATCTAAACCTCCCCCACTGCAACTTGAGACCATTACTCCTCGTTCTGTCATCTGCTACCATTGAGAACAGTCTAGAGCCATCCTCTTTGGAACCCCCTTTCAGGTAGTTGAAAGCAGCTATCAAATCCCCCCTCATTCTTCTCTTCTGCAGGCTAAACAATCCCAGCTCCCTCAGCCTCTCCTCATAACTCATGTGTTCCAGACCCCTAATCATTTTTGTTGCCCTTCGCTGGACTCTCTCCAATTTATCCACATCCTTCTTGAAGTGTGGGGTCCAAAACTGGACACAGTACTCCAGATGAGGCCTCACCAATGTCGAATAGAGGGGAACGATCACGTCCCTCGATCTGCTCGCTATGCCCCTACTTATACATCCCAAAATGCCATTGGCCTTCTTGGCAACAAGGGCACACTGCTGACTCATATGCAGCTTCTTGTCCACTGTCACCCCTAGGTCCTTTTCCGCAGAACTGCTGCCTAGCCATTCGGTCCCTAGTCTGTAGCTGTGCATTGGGTAATTCCGTCCTAAGTGCAGGACCCTGCACTTATCCTTATTGAACCTCATCAGATTTCTTTTGGCCCAATCCTCCAATTTGTCTAGGTCCTTCTGTATCCTATCCCTCCCCTCCAGCGTATCTACTACTCCTCCCAGTTTAGTATCATCCGCAAATTTGCTGAGAGTGCAATCCACACCATCCTCCAGATCATTTATGAAGATATTGAACAAAACCGGCCCCAGGACCGACCCTTGGGGCACTCCACTTGATACCGGCTGCCAACTAGACATGGAGCCATTGATCACTACCCGTTGAGCCCGACAATCTAGCCAGCTTTCTACCCACCTTATAGTGCATTCATCCAGCCCATACTTCCTTAACTTGCTGACAAGAATACTGTGGGAGACCGTGTCAAAAGCTTTGCTAAAGTCAAGAAACAATTTACTTACAGGCTTTTCATGTATGTTAAATATACATTTTCAGTTCAGTTTTACTGCTGGGAAGTTGTGATCGCTGTCTGACTAGTACCCTTGCGGTTGGAGAAATTACAAGGCATTTATCTTTCACACTGTCAGTTGGTTGATTAAACAAGTTAACAGTTTGCTTTTTTCCTTGTCCAGGTAATGATTTAGGCAGGGTGCTTCGCTGGGGAGCTGGTTATAGTGGGGAAGATCCCTACTCGGTTCTGATATCTGTAGATGAAGCTGATGATGTACTTATGGATCGCTGGACCATCCTTTTAGATGCTCAGGAGGCTGTTGAAAGTGCAGAGAATGGTATTTTGGAACCTGAGCCTCCAAAGGTATTTCACGGTTTTGTTTTCTAGAAACTATTGGTTTATTACAGGATGAATGAAATTATAGTGTACCATAGCTGCTTGTAATTTGTCTTTTATTTCAACACACCTTTGGGTGTTACTATAATAATTCTATATGGCTTAGCTCATTCACTAAACCTGCGGGTGAAGAAAGGTAAACCTGATGTGCTGTTTTGAGTACAGTTCTAAAACACTTGAAGTCAGAGATTAGTTACACAATATATTCTTTATGGACATTTTAGATATTAATTATTTCTCTGGCACAAAGCATGTCTGCCTGGGACGGTAACTGATTACAAGTGCTCAGTTAACAGTAGTTGTGTCTGCTTTCAGAAGTTGGGAAGGAATGGGTTCCCAGCTCAGGCGAGAATAGATTCGGTTGAGAGAAAGCTCTTTGAAGGAAGATCAAAGCTACATTTCAGACCTCTATAGTGGAACTGGAATCCTTACACTTTGTTAAACAATCCAGAAAGTTACTTATTAAAGTTCTGCTAGACATCACTAGCGTGAGGTTCAGTAAAACTTTAATTTAACCATCTACCTTATCTCTTTCCCTGTTTGCATATAGTGTCTTTTAAGTGAAAATCTTGCTTGACAGGCTCTCGTGACATCAGATCTCCTTGTTTGGGAAAGGGAGAATGTCGTTTGCAGATGTAATCCTGGGACTCGTTGTTTAAAGTCTGGTTCTGTTTTAAGACAAAACAAGACATAAGAGAAAAAGAGAAGAATAGCAGATGATTACCAAAAAATAGAGATTCTGTCTTTGCAGTTCAGTTGCTGGAACACCCCAGGCTCAGTACGTGGCTTGTAACTTTATTAGCCACTCAGGGATTTTTAAGCAGAATCAGGCTGTGAAGTCATTGTGGTTAGCTTACCACTCTGGTCACAATAGTGCGTTGCAAGGGTAGATTTGTCCTGGCCGTCTAAATTGTCTAAAGATGGAAGGCAGAGAGAGAGAGAGAGTGTGTGGGTATGTGCCAGGAGGAAAAATGCTGTGGTTGAAACTGACACACTGGGGAGGATTTAATAATAGAAACATGAGGTTCACACCAAAGGAGTTGCTCAGGACACAGATGTGAAAATGTTGGTGTTCTCTGGTTCCATCTTCTGGTCTGGTGTGTTTAGAACATCTTTCAGGATAAAGAAACAAAGGCTTCATGATGTGACAGCCGTGATGGTGATACTGTTTAATGCTTCCTTCCACACATACACAATTTGCCAAGTTCTCCCCTATAGTGACACCATGAAGGGAAATATGAAAAAAACGAATGTCTTTAGAAATTGGTTTAATCTGGGACAACGAACAGTACAATTTCTCGGTCATAGTCATATGGTTATTAAATGGTAGCACTAGGTCGAGCGAAGGTTGTTTAGGTGCATTTCCATGCTTTACCTTGTTTGGGTTTCTTTTAAATGTAACCTTATTAATTGCAGATTTCCTGGGTTTGGAATGCTTGGTTTAGGAATAATTACTATATCCCTGCAGTGTTTTTCACCCAGAAGTTACTGATAAATACTCTCAACCATATTTTCATTTTAATGTTGTGTTTTGTACTGGGGCTATCTATGAGAGAAAATGTACTCCTAAATTGCTTTGTGTGCAGTGACTTGAAAAATCGGCAAATGTCAATTTCACTGAAAATTTTCAGTACCAATATGGGACCCTTTGATGTGGTACATCTGAGTCTCAGTGGTATACCACAGTATAATGCTATTTTTGTTTTGTTTTTCAGATTGTACAAATGAACAACTATTGTGGCCTTGGAATTGATGCAGAATTGACCTTGGGCTTTCACCATGCTCGAGAAGAAGAACCAGGCAAATTTAATAGCAGGTAATCTCAGGAAAAATCTTTGTGAACTGAATGTTCATAGTACCACATATGCAGAGTCTATGTATGATATAACAACTCTACAGGCATTCACAAATAGTGGTGCGTGACGTAGTGTACAAACCACACACATCAGGAAAGAGTTAATGGCCTGCTTTTTTGGGCAGGTGAAACAGCCCTGCCTGAAGCAAGTATGAGGCTTTGAGGGAAGTGCTAAAAAGGGAGAGTCCAGCTCTGGTAGACCCTGGCAGGAGGCAGAGCAGATCTGCAGCTTTCACTGCAGGAGAGCAGGCTGCCTGAGGCCAGGAACCAAGAAAGCCAGCAGACTGTCAGTCTCCCCATGGAAGGGTTGGCCTGGCAGGAGCCGGTTGCCTTCTTTGGCTGCCAGCAACTGACTTAGGCTTGCATGAGCCCTGGCGGGGTGGGAAGTGTGCACTTTCCTGGGACTCTGCAGAGCGTGGCAGGGCTGACGAGTGTGGTAAGGATTGAGCCCAGCAGGGACAGAAGAATTTACATTTCTTTGTTTGTTTTGGACTTGGCGAGCCCCAGCAGGGGTGGAACTTTTACAGGATCTAGTCAGAGGGCTAAGTCACCTCAACCGGGAAGGCGCCAGAGGCTGTGGGGATCAGTTGGAGACCTTGAGGACAGAGGCAGAACCACTGCCCCACCCCCATAAGGGGGCTTGCAGGGAGGGTACTCGGTCACATGGTGCTTCCAAAAATGGAAAACAAAACATCAGGTTACAGTCAGATCCATGTGATAAGAGTGTTAGTCTGCCTGATTTTTACAGACAATAGCATGCTAGAGGCAATCAAAAGTACAATGTTTGGGAAGCACTTGGTCATGGTTTCGAAATTTACTTCTTTTCCAATAGCTTTTATATTAAAATCAATGATCCAGGATATATGACAGCTGGCGGCATTAGTAGAAGTATGTACAGTAATATAAAGCAGGGAAAAATCCACATTACAAATTTTCAGTGTCCAGAATTTTCTTTGTACAACTTTGTACTGGAGTGTGTGTGTGTATTTATGACCTCCCATGGAACATATTGTTTTATGTATACATATATATAAAAAACACAATCTGTTTTATTTATTTATTACAATCTGTTTCATGGGAGGTCATAAACACAAAAAACAAACAAAAACCCCACAAAACCCTCTTCTAAGAACACCAAGAAAAAGAAATAACCTCTGTATGTAATTAGTCAATTCAGCAATTCTTCAACATCACTTTCAGTAAGCGCAATCCACCACTGTTTTATATCCATCTTTGATTGTGCTTGAAAGATCCTTTGATTTGTCTTTATGATACCAGCACAAACAGTCATACTCATGGATTAAATAAACCCTAATTATTTATATTCAGAAATACTGCAACCAGTTATCAATACTGTAAAACATTATCCAGTCCTCTCCCCATTACAGTTTGATATCAGTATTCTCAAGCAGTATATTTTTCTCAAGAGTTAAGATAATGAAAATCTACTGTTCGTGTTCTCATACATTACAAAGTACATGGGAAAAATAGCACTTAACACTGTATGTACTGCGTACGAGTAATACATTCAAGAACTATATTACTTACAAAAAAAAAATTAAATCTTCTCCAACCCTCTGGATTGAGAACAGAAAATAACAAGCATTGACTATAAAGTATAACTAGAACAGTGCACAGAGAAAATAATTTTAGCCTTGTTTGTGTAATTAATACAATGTAAAGTTACACAGACACATGTATATAGATAGTTCATACAAAACCAACTACATTAAAAGAACAGCAAGGTTGCAAAGTGAAGTACTCAAAAGTCAGGAAATGATGCAACCTTAACTTTTTTCTTTGTACGTAAGCAGTACAATACTAGATGACAGTATTTTTTCCACAGGATCCCTGTCTCAATGAGTGCAGAAGATGAACAATACTCTGTGAAGGGAGGCAGTGGTTCAATTTGTCTTACATGAGTTATTGTGTATGTGTGTGAATATGTTGTTCACTATATCGGTGGGGGGTGAGGGGGCCTCAAGGGTAGAGAAGAAAGGGAAATTCCTCCTAATGGTTGATACAAGACAAACTTGAATTATCATCTTAAATAAACTTTACATGTTGTATGTACCATGCTGTACTTACTGCTTGGTTAAGTTTGTTGCTGAATGTTTCTTCTCATTAAAGTTAATTGATAAATTTAGGTATACCAATCCAACTTCTTAAAATGAAACCTTAAATCAGTCAAAAAAACCACTGCATACATATACTTTGCACAGATGTATTCTGGTGAGGATTTTGCACTATTTTGTATTCAGAAATGAAATATCTATGATACTCGTATCTGGAGTTTAAAATATGTGCACAGCCTCCCAGGGCATTTTAATTTTAGCATTATGCGTTCGATACAGAGCCATATGATAAAGTAAATCTGAGCCAAAGTATCAGATGAGAAAGCTCTAGTTTGAAAATCCAAGATTCTTTTAGCTACTATTGAATAAGTGTGTGATCCCACAACAGACCACTATTCAGGAAAGCATCTCTATTCAGGACAACATTAAGTGCATGCCTAAAATGAAACATGGACTTACACGCTGGCCTGAATCAAGGCATTAGACTTGAAAATACTCTGAAGCGTTTGTATGTCTATGGAGTGTCCATGCAGAGCACTCTATTTTGCGTGCTTTCTCTTCTATTGTCCTTCCTAATACAGTGTTGCATTCTGTTTGTAATTGGGGTCTTGGTCTTACTTCCCAGTCCAGGTAAAATATAGTGCTTGGTTTTGGGGTAGGGTTTAAGTATCTTCTCACAGAATTTTAAAGCTTTTTTTGTGCCTCACAAGCATTATGCATATATTAATGCCTCACAAGCATTATGCATATATTAATGCCTCACAAGCATTATGCATATATTAATGCTTTAATTTTTAAGGTCAGGCTTGACAAAGCCCTGGCTGGGATGATTTAATTGGGTATGGGTCCTGCTTTTGAGCAGGGGGTTGGACTAGATGACCTCCTGAGGTCCCTTCCAACCCTGATATTCTATGATTCTATGATTAACTTACACTTGAGGTTGTTTTGAAAGGTCAAACTCATAAGTAAAGGAGCAAGCCTGATGTCTTACATGTCATACATTTCTCTTTGATGTTTAATGGTAGATATTTTTAGTCATATTTGGTGTGGCTACTTTTACAGATGGTCTTTAAGAACTTGACTGTTGCACTTAAGTTTGCTTGCTTATATGCAGTAATACATTTTGAACATTTTTCTTTTTTTTTTTTGGAAAATCATGTTTGTTTTTTGCGTGGCATGGAGTATTGCAGTAGCTTTCTAGTGACTTATAATTGGTCAGCAGAGTTTATAATGTAGGGAGTATAATCATAATGACATTCTAAATAGCTTTTGTGTACCTTGAGACTGTTTTTCCTCCTCATATAGCTAAAAGCACATAGCAGTTCATGTGCAATGTTCTAAGGAAAGACAGGAATAGGCTCCAAGTGTTTTTGCTGTAGGCATACTGAATTAATATTTGGAGCAGCTGCTAATGTCTCATTTATTTATTTGCTTTAGATGAAATGTAGCCACATGTACATTTACAATTCCGTCTCTTCTGGTGATTTTTATCATGCTGCACCAAATTACAAATGTCTAGTAATGGGTGACACTATAGGAGCTTCTAGTGTCGTGTTTAAGAGTTGTACATGAGAGGAAAAAGGACAGATTCCCAAACAGAATGAGATTCGTGTGTAAACAGAATGAGATTGGCCGGTTCTTAGGAGATCTGTTTGGAAAACTGATTTTCGTTCCCACAAAAATCTATTTTTGTCCCCAGAAATGTCAGATGTGTTTGCAAAACAAAATTTTGAAGAAAAAAAATCATCTCATGTCAACTGAAATGTCCTTTAGATTTTGTTTTTCTATTTTAATTGGTTTTTATGTTAAAATACATTTCAAAATGAAAAGTCCTTTTGAAATGAAAAATTGAAACTTTCATTCCAAAAATGTCCTGTTTTAACATCTTCAAAAATGTGGTTGAAATAGATTCGTTTCAATGAAAAATTTGGATTTTGTTGAAATGGCATTTTCTGACGGAAAACTGAGTTGTGATCTTCTCCACTCAGCAGAAGTACTTCATTATTGCTGCCTTTCAGACATAAATAGATTTGTCACAAATCACCTTAAGATTGTTGTTAATGGGTATATAATGACTAATCAAGGATTTGATAAAGCCAAAATTAATTTGTTTTGTACGCCTGCCTATAAGCGCAGCTGCCAATGCTAATTGTAATTGTTTGTTTCTAGTATGTGTAATACACTCCCCAGGGAGCCGTGAACTATAAGCCATTGTGTTGCCTTTCCAAAGGAGAACTTTGCCCTGGCTTAAACTATGACACACCAGTTTTGGTAGCCTCACCAGTCAACTCCCTGAGACTCTGCCAGTCTTAACCTTGCCTTGCAGGTTACATCTGATGCTCCCGAGGTCCCCAGAGACGTCTCTGCAATATCCAGTCCCTCTCATTGGCAATCACAGAATTTATTAAGTCTGCTGTCTCCAAAGAGATAGAGTGTACAACTGCCTGTTGGCTCCCTGAGGATATGCTCTTTACCTTTATGCACAGCATGGGGATGGTTTTATAGTAAAACAAGTTTATTAATAAAGAGCATAGATTTAAGTGGCACTAAGAGAAAGAAAAAGAGACAGGTGTGGGTACAAATAAAACAAAAGTAAAAACATGCTTTCTAGTGTCTACAACTTAACAGTTCACAGTCCTGGTCTCAGGCAATTTCTCACCTACAGTCAGTTCCCAGAGTCTTCGACCCAGATTGCTGAAGGATCCACCTTTCACAGATTCCAAGAGCTCTGGCCTCTTTTGTTCCTTAAGTGATGTATACATAAGGGCTTCTATCCCCTTCTTTTTATAGTCTAGTAAACCTTTGAAATGTGTATCCCCAGATAAGTTCTTCTCCCCTGCTGTGTGTTTCTTCCTGGTCACTTCCCAGCCCCCCAGTTGATTTGTATGTCAGTGTAACTTTCATTGCTCAGTTTACTTTGCAGACACAGGCAAACGAACATTCCTTTGTCAAGAGCAAACTTGTTTATCTACTCTTCCCCCAAAGCATATTTTAGGAAAGTATTCCCAGCATGCGCACGCAACTCTTTACATGCCACCCGTAGATATATCACACAGTGATAGTAGTGACCCACATGATACCAGTTTTTACATGATACTTAACAAGACACGGTGTTTGGCTAAATATTCTGACTGAGATGTGCAGAGTGTGTCCTTTAACAGTTGGCATAAAGGGGCTTTGGGGTCACAGACTTATTACGGCAGTCACTATGGTAACAAGCTAAGGTCTTAAATGCGAAGGAGGTTATCAACGACTCAATTATTGATCGAGCTTCCCTGTTCATGAACTGTAAGTCCCTGCACCTGGTCTGTCACCTTGGACCACTTTTTAAAAAAGTGGTGGTTGTGGTCACCGCCACGTCAAGGTGCAGTTGTTCTGTTTACTGATCCTGAGGTACATGCTGCTCGGATGTGGTTGCTCTGCTCCTGCCTGTATCTGGGAGGCAAAACTGACATTCTGGTCCTCTCTCTAGAGAACCGAAATGTGTGAGGAGGAGTATTAAGGCGGTGGCATAACAGCCCTGGTGCTCCCTGGTGAAGGGACTTTTGACAGGGCCCCATGGAATTGTGCTGCAGAATCCAGTTTTTGTTTTAAAATACAATGTTTCTAGCCCTCCTTCTTGTGACGAGAACCTGGAAAATGTGAACTGATGCACGAGGTCTTCCTGAGTCCGCAGGAAGCATGACGTAACTCTCCGGTGTTACCTGCTTAGTTCACTAGGGCCCCGCTGGACACAGCTATTCCATGGCATTTTTTCCTAGAAAGCTTCAGGGGGAGGGATTTACCCTCTGAGACAGCCAGATGTCTCAGGCTTTATTTTCTGTGTATGAGTCCTATGGAGTGTGCCTATGGGGGTGCTTACAGTTCATCTCTCCCAGCTACAGTATTAAAACACAACTTCGCCCTTACTGCATTTACCAAGCCACCTTTAAGCCTTCTCTAGACTAGGGGAAAGTATTTCCTCTGTGATATTTGCATGGCATGGTAAATCTGTTAAAAATTCCTAAACAAATAAATAGTTAGCTAATATGGAGGGTGGGGAGGTGGGTTACATGTTTTAATTAAGTGCTATTTAAAATATGTTAGCACACCCTACCCAGCTAATGTTTTTAAAGATGCTGTCTGACCGAGGAGCTGATGTAATCCCTGCTAACATAGTGTGGTTCTTTGCACCTATTTAGTGACTAGAGTACCACAGGGGTTTGTCTACTACTACTGTCTACAAGCTAGTGGATCTGATCCTTTAGTTCAAACAGTGGAGGCTCATGCGTTTAGATCTAGAGATGCCTGCAGACGACTTATCCATAGCTGTCATTTTAGTAACCTGATTTTAAACAGCACTTAATTAAAATGTATTTGCTAAAATAACATTTAAAAATATTGTAAACAAGGCATTAACCTTGTCCTCAGTTTTTTTCGCTGTAAAATTGGAACACTTGCAAGTAGCTACATCACAGAATTGTTGGGTGTTATCAGTATAATAAGTATTTAGAAATTTTTCTCACTTCAGCTTGGGCAGTTTATATTTTCAAATGACTTATTTAGCGCTCTGTTTATCCAGACTCTTGATGGTTTATGGGCACAGTGCCAATTTTAATTATTCCGTGTTTTCACACTCAGTTTTCGAAGTAGTAGATTTTGATTAAAATAAAATTATTTTCAAGCAGAAAGCCTTCTGAAAGGCAGTTCTGAATATTTACTTGTATATGTTTCCATGTGTTCTATGCCTAATTCCTAAATTATCTTTCTGTCTATTCATTAAAATCTATATGAAGTAACAGTTTATCACCTGAAATAGCTTGATTTGTTGATTAAAACAAGAAGGCTTAAGTGTGATTTTAGTTAAAGGAAACTTTAAATTAACGTGTTCCAAAATTAGAAGAAAAGTGTTAGCTTAAATGAGCATGATTAAAACAGTGCCACAGTATAGTGTCAAACCTTGCAGTGACAGAGTGCTATTCTGTTCATAGGTTTCACAACAAAGGAGTATATGTAAAAGTTGGACTGCAGAGGATAAGTCACACCAGAAATCTTCACAGAGATATAAAACTTAAAGTGGACCAGCATGAAGTTGAGTTACCAAGTATCGAGGGACTCATTTTCATTAATATCCCCAGGTAAAACTGTGAGAAATGAGTCTGTGTTGGTACACATCAAACACCCTGTTGTACTCACCAAAATCTCTGTGGTCAATAGAACTAGATGAAAGGGGTTTTCTTTACTTTTTTTGGCTGGGATTTTCAAAGGTGCGTAAGGCAGCTAGCTGCTCAACTGGTATGAGATTCGGACAGATAACTCGCTTCAGTTCTTCTGAAAGTCCTGGCCTAAGTTCATAGAAACTAACCCTTGTTTTTATAGTGCAATGAGAACCACTTTGCTATCTCTACTCCTATTTCATAACATTTGTTTCTAGTAACTTTTACCAACTCCCGCACATTGCATGCAGGCTTTCTTTTTGTTTGCACAAATGTGTACTAGTTACTGAAATGTGTGCCACAGTATTTAACTGTGGCAACTATCTTAAAAGGCTCTATTAATTAGGGTTCTCTGTTAAGAGAAGTTAATTGGCTGTACTTTTTGTTCTAATTTAGGTCATGGCTTCAAGAGTTAGAGATTTTCTCTCTTTTTAAATCTATTTTTTTTTATTCCTGAGAGAACTAGAAAAGGAAAAAAATCATATCCACTGTTGAGCAGTAGCTGTGTATTGGAGATGCAAACATACTATTCTTACTGGAAATTCAAGCCTTTTCTAGGAAGTAAAATTATATTAATTTCCCACTGGCATCAGGATTTCAGGGGAATGATTTTGATTTGCTTAATTCTACAAAGCTATTTGAAGCCTAAATGTAATAATTTGATAGAGCAGTTTCTCAGTATTTAGCTTCCCTTCAACATATCATGTCTTCCGAAAGAAAAAACATATTGACATTACCAAAAACTCTGGTAACCTTCTGAGTAGTAATCATGAAAGTTAAGACTTTACAGGTTTAACCTGTGGTTTCCAGCAACCCAAAATGACATGAGGCTGTTTCCCTCTTATCCACTTTTCTCAGCTGAAAACCTACTTAGCCCTCCCCCACTGCTTTCACCTCTTCCCCCTTCCCTCCCCCACAGCAGTGTTATCAAGAGGTTACCAAATTTTAGGAAAGCAAATGCCGTGTTTTGTAAAGTGGAAAAGGAGAAATCCCTAACCCCACTCAAGGAGAATCTGTGGAAGAGCAGAATGGCTTCCTAAATTGTTAACCGATCAGATATTTGGATACTGCTTGAGTCTTGACAGATTCCGACATACTCTCAGCGGCCACGCTTGTGTGCTATGTTCCAGTTGGGGGTCTGGAGCTGATCTCTGGGGATCTGACCATGATAATCGATTTGAGAAACCAAGAATCGATGATGGCTTACTGGAAGTTGTGGGGGTGACTGGAGTTGTGCACATGGTAAGTTAGTGCTGAGCCTGCTTTTTGTTTGTTTGGGGGTACTGAGCAAGCGAAAACAGTGACTACTCACTTAACCCATGTTAAGCATCTCTGTGAATTTGCCCTGTGGTAAACATTTTGCTCAAAACATCTTCAAAAAATAATTTTAGGTTGTAAAATGAAGCACTTAAAAGTCAGAACACAAATGCCAAGAATTGTAAGAATACAAAATATATTAGTCAAGTTAGATTACAAAAGTAGTTGGCTGTTATGCTGTGGGGCAGTGGCTGTGATAGCCATTGGAGAGTGGGCTTAGACAGCTTTTGAAGCCTGCTCTGGAAATTCTTGTTCAGGTGCCCAAATTCAGCAATATATAGAAGGAAGCTGGAGCTGGATGGTAAAAAGTTTTAGAGGCATTGAGGGGTCTGCTGTACCACTTGTTCAAGTAAATGGAAATACTCCCAGTGATTTCAGAGGGCTTTGAATCAAGCCCTGAAAGACGTCCATATAAAGAATGGGACTGTTTAATTTAGAGAGATGTTAGCTGCACAAAACAATGAGAGATTAGGGCAGTTGGGTGCTTTTGTTTTCCCTCTTTCAAAATAGAAGTGGACGGTGAATGAAATTTCAAAGGCTGATAACTTAAAAAATGAAGTTAGAATAGGTAGAGATGGCTTCATTTTTTGCTTCCTTGGTTGCTTTATTAGGCTGTGGATCATTGGTACTACATATATTGTTGCAGCTTACCAATTTGAAACTCATTTATTGGAGGTTTGCTTTTACATCCCCTTTCAACTTGTAAACTTATTCCACATTGTTCATAAGCTTCTCAATAAAATTATAAGGAGAAAAATGATAAAAGGAATTACTAACATAATACTTTAAATAACCTGCGGCATTTAAGGTTATAAGGTGGATAGAAAGCTGGCTAGATTGTCGGGCTCAAAAGGTAGTGATCAGTGGCTCCATGTCTAGCTGGCAGCCGGTATCAAGTGGAGTGCCCCAAGGGTCGGTCCTGGGGCTGGTTTTGTTCAGTATCTTCATTAATGATCTGGAGGCTGGTGTGGCTTGCACCCTCAGCAAGTTTGCAGATGACACTAAACTGGGAGGAGAGGTAGATACGCTGGAGGGTAGGGATAGGATACAGAGGGCCCTAGACAAATTGGAGGATTGGGCCAAAAGAAATCTGATGAGGTTCAACAAGGACAAGTGCAGAGTCCTGCACTTAGGACGGAAGAATCCCATGCACCGCTACAGACTGGGGACCGAACGGCTAGGCAGCAGTTCTGCAGAAAAGGACCTAGGGGTTACAGTGGACGAGAAGCTGGATATGAGTCAACAGTGTGCCCTTGTTGCCAAGAAGGCCAATGGCATTTTGGGATGTATAAGTAGGGGCATTGCCAGCAGATTGAGGGACGTGATCGTTCCCCTTTATTCGACATTGGTGAGGCCTCATCTAGAGTACTGTGTCCAGTTTTGGGCCCCACACTACAAGAAGGATGTGGAAAAATTGGAAAGCGTCCAGTGGAGGGCAACAAAAATGATTAGGGGACTGGAACACATGACTTATGAGGAGAGGCTGAGGGAACTGTGATATTTTAGTCTGCGGAAGAGAAGAATGAGGGGAGATTTGATAGCTGCCTTCAACTACCTGAAAGGGGGTTCCAAAGAGGATGGATCTAGACTGTTCTTAGTGGTAGTAGATGACAGAACGAGGAGTAATGGTGTCAAATTGCAGTGGGGGAGGTTTAGGTTGGATATTAGGAAAACCTTTTTCACTAGGAGGGTGGTGAAGCACTGGAATGCGTTATCTAGGGAGGTGGTGGAATCTCCTGCCATAGAGGTTTTTAAGGTCAGGCTTGACAAAGCCCTGGCTGAGATGATTTAATTGGGGAGTGGTCCTGCTTTGAGCAGGGGGTTGGACTAGATGACCTCCTGAGGTCCCTTCCAACCCTGATATTCTATGATTAGCTAGCTAAGAATTTAGAATTCTTGGGTGAGCTAATCATGTGAATCAAAGATTAAGATAAAACCTCCAGCCCACAACTGCATGGGAGTAATTTGAGTAAACTGTTCGATCAGTAAGCTGGGATGATTTATTTGGAGATTGGTCCTGCTTTGAGCAGGGGGTTGGACTAGATGACCTCCTGAGGTCCCTTCCAACCCTGATATTCTATGATTCTATGATTTATTACCTTAAGATAGCAAAATCCTATGATGGCAGAGCACTTAGCACTAGACTTTATTTGAATTTATTATAATATAGTTGATTCTGTATATGATTTTTAAAATTCTTTATTTTTAACTAATTTAAAATCTCATTATTTTCTATGGTTTTTTTAGGTGTCTTTTGAGACAAAAATATTTTTGAACAAATCCTAATAAATGTGGTAGGCTGAGGATAACAATTACTTGGACTCCTTTATAAATGTAGACCCCAATCCTACAAATAAGTTGGCAGCAGCAGGGAGCCCCTTTGACTTCAGTGGTGCTCAGATGAAGTTGAGGTCCATTGGCTTGGAGCCACCTTCTGGATCAGGGCCTTACTGCAGCATAGGGTTAATGCAGGTGTTACTTTTGAAAATTTCAGGTCATAATTTTGGAATCTTCTAGGGGGTAGAAACCTCAGACAGGAAGAGGCCAGGATGTACTCCAGCGCTGCAAAAGTCTTAAGCATGATATGCACCTGTCCTTGCTTTTATAAGGCTTATTTGTACCAATAAATACCAGAGAGTTTTAGAAAATAATGGCAGTTCTGATATTCTGATAGGGTCAAGTACAAGGCGGTCTGCGATCAGGGATTCGCATAGCCCAAGGATCTTACTTTCGTGTTACGCTTCTGAAACCAATACCTGTTCAAGTAGATGGAGAGCCCTGGATCCAGCCACCAGGCCAGATTATCATTTCTGTTGCAGGACCAAAGGTAAGCTTGCCTCGGCAGTTTGCCTTTTTGCATTAGAAAAATGTAAATGGTTGTCATTAAAGTTTTCTCCTGTTTGTTTTTGTCTGGCTCCTCATCCTCTTAGTTCATTTCATTTTTAAGGTACTAATCAACATAATGTGATCACTGTTGGATGAATATACGCTATGGAATCTATGCCATGAAATTCAAAGAAGTTCACATATATTAGTTAAAGGGCCTGTCTGCACCAGCAAAACTACAGTATTGAGAGATCAAGTTTAAGAAAACAGTCCCCTGGGTGTTTGGTAATGTGGCTTAGCCTCGCATGAGACAGCAGGGAGCCATGTTCTAATTACATTGTTTGCGTTGCAGCAGATCAGGGTTATTCAGACAATCCAGGAACATGGTGTATGAGGGACAGTGCATTCCCTGTTCAGTGGTCAAGGAATCCATGGACAGAATTTAGCTAGCAAGAAAGTGGAGAAATGAGACGTATGAGCAATGGGAGGGGAAGGAGAGGAGCGGCTGGGGGGTTGTGAGTAAAGTGTCCCCCATCCAAGGAATTAAAGTTTCTGCTGACAGTGAAGCAGCCAAATGATTCGTTTGCACTGTCAGTGCATTTGATAACTCTCACACACACAAGTTCCTGCCACAGAAGTTCGTTGAATGACCCCTTTAAGAACGACTGCAGAAATCTGTTGCTACAGAAAGAGTTACAGAAATCTCATTGAATGCCAAGCTTTTGTCGTGGGAAAAAAAAAGAGGCGTTTGCAGAATGTGCCTTTATTATTTGAAAAGTACTTGCAGCTACACAGAGCTCTTCTTCAGATAAAAAAGAGCCCTGTGTAGCTCAAAAGCTTGTCTCTTTCACCAACAGAAGTTGCTTCAATAAAAGATATTCCCTCACCCGCCTTGCCTCTTTCAAAGTATTAACCTTTTTTGTAAAGAGGATTAGTGTTTAAAAACTCTTCCCTTCTTGCACGAGAGAGAGAGATACACATTTTGTAATTTGGAGTCGCTCTACAGAAACTGCTCTGAAATGCACAAAGTAAGCAAATCAAAAATTAGGCTTTTCTTGACTCTGTTAGTCGTCTTGGGTGATATAATTATAAGAGGTTAAAAAAGACAAGTGAGAGTTAAGTTAGTAGTATCTTTATTAAATTGCTTTTCTGTTGCAGCATTAATGTATATTTTATTCATTCCTAAGCATACCTTTCTTAAATTTGCTTGAATAAAGAGATGTTTTGTTGCTTTCGTTTATCGTCTCTACAAATGTTTTATTGAAGGTCCACATGTTGAAAAAATCCAAACAGAAGCCAAAAAAAACTGGAAGCTTGAAAGAGACAAGAACAGATAGTGTCTCAGTCACTGAAGTGGGACGTTAAATGGAGCGGACCTTTCCAGAACAGAAGCGGCAGAACTGCTGTCGATGAAAGGAGCCTGCACTGTACAGCTGGGTGCTGGGGTTTGGTAAAGAAGGGGTCCTAATGAGCCTGCCCTTTATTCCATTGTAATAGTACTGTGTTCTGCTTGTTTTGTTAAATGATTGTGCCTCATTAGGTGGCTGATGCACACCTACTTGTATACCACTAATTTCATTCGAAATGTTTGCCTGTGGTAGCCTTCCCTAAAGCACTGCCCAGTACCAATAGATAACACAGATCTACCCTATGGAGCTCTTCACACTTGGTTTTGCAGAATTTTCATTTTGTTAAGAAATTTCTTGCCTTTTTCTTACATAATCTTCCATCGAGAAATCATCACAAGGTTCTGTTAAAGTAGCCCTGAACAACAGTCTTCCAACAAACAGAAGAGTAGTGGTTGCATCTCTTTGCTGTTGTACTGTGACCTTCCTGGGTAAGGCCAAAGAACACAATTTGAGGCGTTGCAGTTTGAGATCATGTTACTCGAGATGAATGACTGTCGTGATAATGATCCCAACATGAAGAGTGCCGTGTGCAGAGGAGAAAACCTGTGCTGAAACGCTCAAGTCAAAATGGCTAAGACAGGATAGTTTCAACATGGTTTACTAGGATAAAGTAAATGGGGACAAAAATCTGCTTTAAACAGTTATGAAATGGTCTAGCCTCTTTCAGACATCAAACACTGTGGAAGGGCTGGTAAAGTTCAGCAGCTATCTCTTGACTAAATGGGGGCAAAGTTTGCCTCAGTAATATATGTAGATGACAGACTTCTTGGGCTCTTATTTTTCTCCCCCGCTGCGTGTTCTACCTTTGGTGACTCCGTACACTTCCACAGGTCCTCATTGGTCTTGTTTCAAATTCAGTTTCTAAAAAAAAATGCCCTATGTGTAAATGTATTGTGACTATGACTTTCCATACGAGCTCCAGAGACTTGAAGAATGGGTACTAATTCTGGTAAAAAGCTGCTGAAAACGACTGTTTCATTGATTATCAGTTCACTAAGGCTGTTTCTCTACAAGGGGCGTGATTCCCCTCCTATGCTAGCTCGATGAAAGCTAGCGTGAGTGTATGTAGTAGTGGAGGCATGGCTGAACTTCACCACGTACAAACCAGCCTGAAATCGGCAGGCATGTGCTTGGCACAGCTAAGCCGTGCCTCTGCTGCCTGTGCTACCATGGCTACACTACTATTTATATCTGCACTGGCTCTCATTGGGCTACCGTGAGATGTGTTCGCAAGCAGCGGATTCACACCCCTGGCTTGTAGTGTAGACATAGCCTACGATACGTGAACATAGAGGCAGGCTAACATTAAATGGAAATACACAATAATTTAATTCCTTGAGTTTTCTTATGATGCATAGTGTGTGTTCAATAAGACTGTACGTCTGGCAATATGTACGCCGTTGCTGTAAAAAATGCTGTGACTTCAGATGACTGAGTATTTAGCAATAAAGTAACAAAAGGCCTATTTTCCAGTATACTTCTGAAAACAGCCTTCCCGCAACTGTTTAGCCATGGTTCTTTCTTGCAGGCTGCCAGTGTAGCTTAGCATTTGGGGCATGGAGAAGGGGTGTAGGCCCAGATTCTCAAAGCTATTTAGGCACCTAACTCACATTGATTTCAGTGGAAGTGGAGCCTGAATACATTTGAGGATCTGGGCCATAGTGAGTGTACTGTAATCTAGCTGGACCAGTGTGTGTTGTAAGCCCAGGTTAGGGCATGCCAATCCTCCCAGAAAGGTGATCTGACTGCTTGCCCACCTGCTGAAGACTGATGGGTCAGGGTGTTTGAGAATACTGCCCAGCCCCAGGGCTAATGTGCTGAAGATCTGGTAGAACACTACATCTGTTGTCAACAGCCATTCCCGCATGGGCCTTTCTAAACACCCCTTCTCTTTGCTTCACTCTCAGCTCACCATGGTTCTCTGGTGAGCTAAGTCAGGTGGAAATGAATGGGCTTGAACAGCAGTGTGGAAAGATGCAGAACAATTGTGGTGGAAGGAATTTGTACAGTTCTACCCCACACAGGGAAAGGTGACTAATATCTTTCAGCATTGTGTACGGTAAGTCCTTGACCAATGGAACTGCTCCCAGCTATGTCCTCATGAACCTGAGTCCTATTAGCAGGCGACAAGGCACACTTACCCTTGGCTGTAGAAAGAACTGATGAAATACATTACAGCCACCTCTGCTCGGGGGGCAACAAATCAGAAAAAAACGGTGACCGTACTGGTAGCATGGCTCAATCACTCAAGCAGAGGCTCTGAAAAGACTCTTACTGTTGCTGCTTGTGGAATGGACCTTTGAAGCCATGTCCCACGTGAGGGCTACCTCCAGAATGGCATTCTGTAGACTGTGAAATGTGCAAAAGCCCAGCCTTTGTTTAGCAAGCAATTGATGCCAGTGTTCTTGCCAGCCATCCCCTTTTCACGGTCTACTCAGCGAGTGGTTGCAAGTCAACGCCCGCAGCAGTTGTTTTCTACCAGTGTTATAGACACCTTCTAGTCATGCTTCAGACGTGGCTAAGGCATGGCAGCAGCTTTGATAATCAGCTTATTGCCACGGACAGAGCTGAAACTTCAGTGCAAATGCGGTTTGATCGAACAACAGTTTCTACCATCCGTCATCAAGAGATGCTTTTTACTCACTTATGGGACAGCTGCTCCTTTTCCCCACGTGTTCTGACCTTAAGAGTGCTACAGGACTCCATCCCCTCTTATTCAGCATCAGAACAAGATTTCTGTTGAGAGTGAGATATCTGCATGCTGATGGTGCAGATATTTCATGTGCATCTTTCCTCTTCTAACACAGCATCAGCTCCACTTCGGCACTTGGAAATTGGTACGTGCATGAAAAGCAAGCGGCTTGAGCTCAGCTTCAGTGTGGGTACTTCTGCTGATAGTGGGAGGAGGAAAGCATTGTATTTCAAGCTCTCTGCTCTCTCAGGGTGAAGTCAACAGACTAAGGAAATACATCACTGCTCATGGGTACCCAAGGCACAACAGTGGCCAGGAATGCTGCTTTTAGCTTCTTTTAAGTAGTTGAGAGATCAGTTCTGTTCTCTTTGATGCAGCCTAGCTATGGACATGAATGTTTTTGTCATCTGCAGACTCTACCTGAGTTGACTGCAAAGACCATGCAGAAACAGAAACCTCTCTCCTCCACGGGCCACACCAGAGAGCCTGTCTCACCAGTGCGCCATTCCTACACTGGCTCCAATTGATACTCTGGATCTGTTTCATGCTGCTAGTCCTGACTTTCACAGATCGTAATGTGCTAAGTCCTGTCTCACTCCCCCGCTGCCCCATTGCAGTGGCTGTTATCTGAAATAGTGTGGTTTACAATCCCAAAGGTGAAACTCTTTGCACAGCATATTTTAAGTGGAAGACGTTTTGGCTGTGGAATTTCCTGCCATCTGATTGTTATAAATGCCAGACTCTTTCCACACTTAGAGCACAGTGCAAGATCCATCTCTTTGTGCATACCTCCCATAGTCTGGTGCAATAGTGCTTTCCTGGCAGGCAGCCACCAGAGAGGACACTGATAGGGATTGTGTGTTAATAGAAGAAGTGATGGAAGCTTCTGGTCCTTGCTCATGCAGAAATGAAGTCTGATGTATGTGGTATCTAGACAGTTTGGTGATTGGCACGTTGGAAATGAAAATAGATACTTTTTTTAAAGCTTAATGTCTCTTTGTCTGATTCTGAAATATCTTCTGTATGTTTTCAACACACAACAGATTTTTGGGCAAGTGGAATGGAAAACTGAATATACACAGAATAAGCAAACCAATTTAAAAACAGAGAAGAATTCTCTGGAGTAACCATTTTTAAGCTGTTTCAATTTCAGGTATTAAAAAGGCTAAGATGCTTAGGGAATTGTAGAGCTGTAGTTTTGTTTTCATCAAACTTACACCTGCTGTGTGTGGGGATAGGGTTAATCATGTACAGTCTTTGCATTCATATTAATTACTTGGAGGCTTCCCTGCAGAAAGGTGGCATTGCTTATAAGTTACGTTAAACATGTGTAACAGCTGATAATTAGGTTTTATGTAAATCCAGTGAGATAATGCAATATAATTACATTTTGATGTTTTAATGCATGGTTCATACCATTATCAGCTCTTAGTGGAGAATGTTGTAAAATGTGATAATTATATAAACTTACGGTGGTTCCCCAGCCAATGCTTAAAATAGCATTAACAAATTTGAAGCTAGAGTGGTTTAGAAAACGTGGTGCAGAGAGCTCAGAAACGATATTGGGAGTGAGGTGAAATCCTGGTGTGGCTGGGTCATGCTTGTGGGTGGTCCTTGTGGGCTCATAGGGAGACATACACTGTGCTGTCCCAAGCACAGGCTTGATCCTTTGTCGAGGCCCCTCTCTGATGACCTTCTCTGCAAGCCTCGGGGCATACTTGTATTGCCTGTCCTGCTTCCCGCTTGGAAAGTTGCATTTGGCCTCTACCTCCTGGCTTTCCAGCTCTTGTCAGTAGGGGAGGAGAAGGGGGTCACTAAAAGTGCTATTCAATATCTCAAATTTCCAACCCAGGTAAAATGCATGTTTAAGGTATACGGTCATAGATAAGTATGTTATCGAATAGTACAGGGGAAGGATAAAATGTCCGCTCTGAGTTTTAGCCATAACTTCACAATTTCTGGCTTTTATGGTTGTAATTTATTCCCTCAACATTATTCCAACACTTATGGTCTGGTTTAGAGTAGTATAAGCTTCTACTTAGTGATGCTTAATCTAAATTGATCTTTGTGAACGGTCAGTGACTTATTTTGCCAAAAAACGACCAAGTCGTCTGGGCGAATTGAACATCTGGTCACAGTATATCCTCGTGTGGATTTAGCTGGGTGACTACGTTCTGACATCATTTGCTTCCGATCCTTATTGATAACACATGAGTGGTCTGATTGTCATTGGACAATGTGTTGAGCCCCTTCTTGCTGGTCCGTGAGATACACTGTGTCATTAAGATTCCCAACACAGACCTCATGGATCTAAGGAACCTGCATTTTTCAACAAGATTCACTGGTTATAAAATCCAGCAATGAGATTAGAATTCAGCATCGGCATATATTTTAGCTTTACCTCTGTATATCTTCCTGTAGATTTAAATCAGGCCCTGGATATTAAACTAAACCACAACCCTTCATGTGTAATACATTTAATAAAAAAACTAGGAAAATCTTTTAGTAGTAACTCTTACGGATATTTACTCATTAATCCTTCATATCCTATACAAGCTTATTGTGTAAGTGGCATTTTTATCTACTCAGTCCAGACCCTAACTATTGGATGAATGTTTGAATGGTGGATGTGTTTATGCATATATGTGTTTTACCCAGTCGCCCACCTATTGTTGTGTGAGTAGAGTCATTGCTAAACATTGCCGAATGTAAAACAAAATTAAACCATTGTAGCAAATGTATACACCTGGGGTAAATTGTTGAAAATGGTAAGGTTTAACAACGATAAAGCTATAGCCGTGCAAATGCTTTAAAACGTACCATAGTGTTGCCTGATGCTTTGTGTGTTTTGTGCAGCCTGTTTATCGTTCAGCTGTATATTTTTTTGAAAAGTGCAGTATGACGACCTGGAAATAGAAATTTTTTCAGTCTACAACACAGGCTGCTTTCACACCGCCACCACAATGACTGTGTGCCTCTGCCATACTCTGTGGGTGCCTCCTTCATGTCCTTTGTTCTCAGCCCTTCTGCTGAAACTGATGACTAATTAGTGCCAATTCTGATGGTGCTGTTTGATCTGAATGACTGTTCACTAGCAGCGGGTATGAGACCACCCACTCATTTCCACTTACATCCTTCAACAGCCATGAAATGCAAAGATCTTCAGTTACTACTGAACTGGCTCAGATTCCTATTGGGAACTTTGGCTCATTTTCAAACATAGATCCCATATTGTGTGTGTTTCCATTATTTTACACACATTTTGCATTTAACAAGTAAATGTGGAACAGACATTGTTTAGTGTATGGCAGAACTGCCTTTTTGTGTTTGTAGTGTAAATAAGGAAAACCTTTTTGCAGACTTAAAATGCACTTTCAGGTTAAAATACAAAGAAGTCTGTAGAATGCCATTTAAAATGCTAGTTATTCTTGTAATTGTACCATTCCCTAGCATCCATGTCACTGAAATTACTGTACTGTCTTTTAATGCCCCATTAGGGAAGGAGAGGAGATTGTAACATTTTTGCAATACATATTTATATCTAACTGACTGAAAGTTCATTTAAACTTTAAACCATTATAAATTGGCTATGGCCATTATAAACTATGAATTAGTTTAATAGACTCATTTTTATAATGCATGAGATTCATTTTAAGTTTATTTATTATGATAACAGCTAGTTAATTTGACACACAGGGTGTGTGATAAGAAGTCCAACTGAAAGGCCTTCACTTCTTTGACCTCTCTGTGCTTTGGCACTGACCAATGTAAAGGCATTACATGGAATGCAATGGTTTAAACACAACTTATTAAAAATTGTTTCTAAATGTCTGATTAGACCAGCAGTTTCGATGTTTACAGATTGGTGACTATTGATTGTATGCACCCTGGTTCGCTTTTGACACAGTGCACTGGTTTATATTTTGGAAGCGTTCTTTCTACTTCCCATGCCCATGAGTGGAATCGTTGCCTTTTGAGTTTGGGCTCTTAAGTAACTCTTCGAAGTGTGGATTTTCACTTTTCTGCTATGAACTGATAGAACCGACTTTGTGCTGATAAAAGTATTAGATTGAACATTTCTTCCTAAAGGACAAGTTTATTTTTGATAATGTATAAGATGGTTTTATAAACAATTAAGTAGTGTTGAAAAAGTTGGTATGAGCTCTTGAAACAAGTGTATTATCATGATTTAAAAATCTATTTCAAAGCAGATAAGCATTTTTTCTTTATAGAGCAGTGAAATGATATTTTCACTACCCTTAGTTCTGTTCTATGTTTAGCTTATCTATTAAGAGGAAACTTATTCTCAGAAGATGTGGCTTAATTTATCTTCAATTTATGCTGTATTGTGCTAATCGCCTTGACCTTTTACGCTTCTCTTGTAGCAATTCACAATATAAACACCTGTTTAAGAGGCTTAACTTTCCATCTATGAATTCCTACAGATGAAAGGACAAAATTGTGACAATTCTAATTATTACCCTGTCTGCCTAAAGTGAATGTGCCATGCAGCCATCCTTTGCTTCCAAAGGCAGCTGTCGCTTGGGCCAAGTGTACACCAGTAAGGGACACAGAATCCTATATCGGGCAAATGTTGCTCTCGCAATTGCTCTCCTCCCTTTATGCTTTTAAATTTGCCAAATAGGGAGTAGCAAGAGGTGCCAAAGAAATTAGTGAGTAAGTATTAAAAGTGAGCAAATATAGGTGCTTGGAAAATCTAAACCTAACTCCTTTAAAGCAAAATCCTGTGAGGTCTGTGTCATAGAAGTAGTTGGCTCATTTCAGCTTTTCAAAAGTGCTAAGAGAAAAATTTTAATTGGAAATGGCTGAGAGACAAACAGTAAGATACCTCGGTGAAGTTGTAGATTGAGATTGGGGGGTGGTGGAGGGATCTGATATCTTGATATCAAAATCAGAGCAGCACAAATTCTTTGGTTAGCCATAGAAAAGTTTGATTATCCTCCTGTACGCAAAAGTTCCATTATGTGGTAAATTATCATTAGCTGAAAAATTGTGGTGTTTTCCATTTCCAAGTGGTCCAAGCAGCTGATTTCATTGGACTAGCTCTTTAACAAGTTTTTAAAAACAAGGTACTTCATGATGTCTTATGGCATTTCTTGTGAATGTTGTAACATGTTGGGCCACGTGGATTACACCGACAAACTAAGCTAAACTGACCATTCGGCTAGTGTGAAGTGCTTCTTCTCTGTTCTTCTGCCTGATGATTCTTAGAAACAATTTGTAGAAAGTGTAGCCATTAATGAGGTTGAATTCTATTTCTGTGTTGTGTGCCTCAAACTAATAAAGCATATCACACATGTTTACTTGTGGTTTGATCTTAAAAAAGATGGTTTTCATGGTATAACTAGTTTCTAGTTTTCTGCCTTGCAGACCACTGTGCTGGTAATCTGTCTCTATGAATTAATGTTCCTAAAATGTAGTAACTAAAAAATAAAAAGAGGTGGACTTTTCTTTTATATTTAAACATCAGTTTGTCCTCAGATTATGTTCTTAGAATAATTCTGTATATATTTTGCGATATGGTTTTGTGTGTAATTTTGACTGTACATTTTGCACTGATTGAAATTCTGTATTCTAAGTATAATTTGTGAGTACCAGAGATCTATAACTAGAATTTATGTCTGTGACAAATATAATTGGTAATTTCTGTTACAGTCTGGATGTGTCTGTGTGTGGTGGTTAAAAATTTCTTGTTACAAATGGTGAAATGTGTTTCTGCAAAGAGCAAACAAACTTGCTTTGTTTCACTCATTCTCCAGACACTGCTTGAATGAGCATTTTACAGTTCAAGTGTCCAAGAATACCTAGTGTTCAACATAACACAAGAATGGCCATAGAGGGTCAGGCCAATGGTCCATCTAGCCTAGTGTCCTGTCTGCCAACAGGGGTCAGTGCCAGGTGCTTCAGAGGGAATGAACAGAACAGGCAATCATTGAGCGATCCATCCCTGTTGTTCACTCTCAGCTTCTGGCAGTCAGAGGCTAGGGGCACCCAGAGGATGGGGTTGCATCCCTGAGTATCTTGGCTAATAGCCATCGATGGACCTGTCCTCCATTAACTTACCTAATGTGCCATCGTTATGGCTACTGTTTTCTGATGCTGCGCTATTGGCTTCTTTCCTGAATTTCTGTGGTGACACCTACATACTGCTGTGGTGGGTGCCATAAAAATAAGTGCTCTCTTTCTGTATTGCAGATCATGGTGTTTGATAGTTGATCACCTAAGTATTTAGCTAGTTCCCGATTTTTCTCTGCAACTTAGACATTGCTATTTTGTTGTCCTACACCATATCTTTTGGGCCAACTTCTTAAAAATGTTTAGCTGCTTTTGTCTTTATTTGTTAGCACACTTGATGGTATTTGCGGGTTTTTTTCACCTTGTATTTTTCCCTTGTGGATAATTCTAACAAGGGTCCAGATTTTCAAAGTTCGGTTCACACAATTGTTTTAGGTATTTACACTCAGCTTGAAAAATCTTATACAGTATTTTCAAACTCATCCCTTTTGTTCACCCAAGATTAAGTGATGCTTCTTTTTGGAAGGAGTTTTTATATGCATATTATGGTGCATCCCCAGCTTTGATCAAATTTTTTACACGTAAGATAATGTGTGTCCAGAACCACACTGAATCTGAATGTCGATGAGATCATTGGTGGTTGTAGTCGTTTAATTTTAAAATCTTAAACCTTTGACAAATGACTCACGGTGGGAGAACTAAGGTTGGGGGTGGCGGGAGGGAATATCATGACAGCATTAGTGTAGTTGAATATGGCTTTCTTTTTGGCTGTTGATTTATTTGCACAATAAAATATTTGAGTAGCAGCCGTGTTAGTCTGTATCCGCAAAAAGAAAAGGAGGACTTGTGGCACCTTAGAGACTAACCAATTTATTTGAGCATGAGCTTTCGTGAGCTACAGCTCACTTCCTCGGATTCATCCGATGAAAGCTTATGCTCAGATAAATTGGTTAGTCTCTAAGGTGCCACAAGTACTCCTTTTCTTTTAATAAAATATTTATCACCTAGAACATATTGATGGACTTTGCTGTCTAGTTTATTTGGCCGTTTAGGATTGCTGCCCTCTTGCCTTCAGACTTAATTAGGGCATTACCCCAATATATAGATCCTTCACACAATTATAGGTTTCAGAGTAGCAGCCGTGTTAGTCTGTATTCACAAAAAGAAAAGGAGTACTTGTGGCACCTTAGAGACTAACCAATTTATTTGAGCATAAGCTTTCGTGAGCTACAGCATCCGATGAAGTGAGCTGTAGCTCACGAAAGCTTATGCTCAAATAAATTGGTTAGTCTCTAAGGTGCCACAAGTCCTCCTTTTCTCTTCACACAATTATAGCTTGCAGCTCTTGTGATGCTGCTGCTGTGGATTTTTCAATTTCAAACGTTTCCATGGTTCTACCACCTTTGATTTGGTGACATGTAAATCCTTCATTGCTTTAAAGGTCTTGCACTTCAAAATGACAAAACCTTAAAACCTTGGGTGGACAATATTTTCTATAGATACTTCCTCATGACAAGGGCCCTACCAAATTCATGGTCCATTTTGGTCAATTTCATGGTCATGGGATTTTAAAAATCGTAAATTTCATTATTTCAGCTATTTAAATCTGAAATTTCATGGTGTTGCAATTGTAGGGAGCCTGATCCATAAAGGAGCTGGGGGGCGGGGTGTTGCAAGGTTGTTGTAGGGGAGATCGCGGTGCTGCTACCCTGACTTCTACGCAGCTGGCGGCGGTGCTGCCTTCAGAGCTGGGCAGCTGGAGAGCAGCGGCCGCTGGCTGGGAGCCCAGCTCTGAAGGCAGAGCCGCCGTCGTCAGCAGCGCAGAAGTAAGGATGGCCTGGTATGGTATTGCCACCTTACTTCTGCACTGCTGCCTGCAGAGCTGGGCGCCCAGCCAATCACCGTCGCGCTCTGGCCACCCAGCTCTGAAGGCAGCGCAGAAGTAAGGGTGGCAATACCGCAACCCCCCTAAAATAACCTTGTGACCCCCTTTTGGGTCAGGACCCCCAATTTGAGAAACACTGGTCTCCCCCATGAAATTTGTATAGTATAAAGTAAAAGCACAAAAGACTGGATTTCACAGGGGGAGACCAGATTTCATGGTCTGTGATGCGTTTTTCATGGCTGTGAATTTGGTAGGGCCATACTCATGACCAAAACCTTCCTTATACCTATTTAGACATACCCAAAGTGTACAGTAGGGGCACCAAAGATCCCTCGGCTGGGTGGATGGAGGTCAGGTCCACTCAAATCTCTGAAAGTGGAAGCTATTGTGAATTGGCCTGTGGGAGGTTTCAGCGACACTGTTGCTCCTATCACAAGCCTGTGTTAGAAAGCAAAAACAGAAAAGGAGTCTGATCAGATGCCAGTCAAAAAGGTTTTGATGCAGTGAAACAGATTTTATCAAAGATTTCAAGAAAACGTTTGAATTGTGTGTTGATGCATCCAGCACAGGTCTCAGAGCCATATTAATGCAGACAAGGGAAGATGACCAAAATCCACCCTATTGTGTATCTGCGCCCAAAACTGTCTCCTTCTGAACAGAACTACTCTGTAATTTAAAAAGAGCGCTATGCCATAGTATGGGCTGTGAAACAACTCAGACCGTGCCTGTTCAATAAGCAGTTCAGGGTATTAATACACCACTCTCCATTAGTATGGGTCCATAGAACAAAAGGAACCAATTCCAGATGTCTCTGCTGGAGCATAGCTTTACAGTAGTATGATACGGAGATTAAACCTATTGAGGGGTCGGAGAACATGGTAGCCAAGGCCGTGCCCAGAGAAGAGAGGACAGAGGTGAATCTTCTATCATGACTAGTGGCCACGACTCCAGCATCAACTCACTAGGTAGGTGTGACAGTCAAGGTCCACACACCTTGAGGGGCTACTGCGGGGTGTGAATCCCTCAAAATAAGCAACTGAATCAACAGGTTGTAGACAATGTTATTGTGTATCAAAATATGCCAAATAAGGTCTGTTATGAAAGCTTGCAATGTCCTGAACTTGCTGGTCATTAGGAGATGTGTGTACAGGTCCTGGGTATGCAGGATTATGTGTGTAGAGCATTGTAATTGTAACTACAGTGCAACTGCAGCATCCCCTCAGAGCAGGGTGGTGAGACAATCAGGCAGGGGTGTTTTCCCTAGCATCTAACATTGTCCAGCCAGGACATGACAATGTTGGACCATCACAGTTAATGGGCAAACATCTAAACAACTTGAACTGGAAAACAAACCCCTTGTGTGGGAAACACCCTACTCTGTGCAACCATGAATTGCCAGAGTCTGAGAAAAAAGGGAAAAAACCCTGTTAATGGGGAAGGGATTTGAAGGGTATCCAGAAACTGAGGGTCAGCATCTTAGTGGGGTGCTCTCTGTGAAACACTGGATCCTCTTTAGGGAAATGGGCACGCTGGGAACAACCTGTCCAGAGGCAATAGGTCACTTGTATTAGACGAGGGAATTTAGCTAATGGGGAAAGCCTGAGCTTGTGTCTTTGTTTATTTTCTGTGCACCTCGCCTATGTTTGCTTTTTCTTGTTGTTTCATCTTTGAATCGATTTCGTTTTGTTCATTTGCACCTCGAGCAGCTCCTCTGTTGTGCAAACTGTGGAGTCCATGCACCAAAGTGAACTGCTAACCTGGGACGGGTTTCACACGTTTGGCAGTGACGAACCAGAGGGAAAAGTCATGAGTGTCTGGTAGTGAGGAACATGGGGAGCCGGATTTGGGGGCACTCAGGACTGGAAGGGATTGTTGAGCTCACTCTGCAAGAAGTAACAAGGCTGGTGGAATCCAGGGTGGGACCTCCTGCTTGCAGGGTGGGTACTGGTGTCGGAGCACTGAACCACAGCAGCATGGCTTTAAGACATCCAAGGTTACAAGGCAGATGGTGACAGAATCCCTCACTGGCCAGGGTGATCCCCAGAATGTTATGTTCAGAGCAATAGGTAAGTAGATAACAGTAGTAGTAGTTCTCATTCACTAGGAACTACTGCTCATAGAATGCATGAATTGAAGGGAATTGTGCCAGGCTGTGTGTCACAGACTGGGGTGTGGGCACTCTGGCCTAGTGGTTAGAACAATAGCAATCCATCCTAGTGGTCGGAGTCGGAATCGAGATCGAAGAGTCAGAGCTGGTGTCAGGAACCCAGAGTCAGAAACGAAGCAGGACTGAGGACTGAAGCAAGGCTGGGAAGAAAGCAGGGAAAGGATTAATCACAGCATTGGGCAACCACTGGCCAAGTGCTACTGCTGGGCTTAAGAACAGTCGGGGCAATGCCGCTGAATCAATCCAGCGATCTGCTCAATTAGGTCTTTCAGCTGGTTACCTAATCCCAGGCCCAGCTGCAGGTCCTCATGCTTGACACTTTGTTTTAGATAAATGACCACCCTTCAGTAGTTCTTTTGGCAGGGTGTGCTCCCTAGCAATCTATGAGGGGCTGATGGCTTAGGTTTGCACTAATGTCCTACTAACAGACTGTTGTGATGTCCAGATAAATGATCACACAAACAACACCATGGCCCTGTCCCACATTTAGAACGTTCACACTTACCGTTTAAACAAGCCAAATGCATCCTTGATTGGCTTGGGTCACACTTTCACATTGGCTAGTTAGAAAGTGTAAAAGCCTCT